GGCGCCGCCTCGAGCCGGAGCCCGCGGGGCGTCAGCGCTGCCGCCGCGCGTGCGCGCAGGCCCCGCGCCGCGCGGAGCCTGTTGAGAGCAGACGTGCTCGCCCCGCGCGCGGAGCGCCTCGCGGCACGTGCGGGCCTCCCCTCCCGGCCCGCTGCCCCGGTGCCAGAGCGCCCAGCGGTCCGTGCTGGGGGCTGCGGCGGCTGCACGCAACGGCGCTGTACTGACCGCCCCTTGCTCCTGCTCGAACCCGGGTGCCGCTTAGGGTGCGGATAACTACAGCAGTTCCGTGTGAGAGCTTTCCGTGCTGGAAAGCAAACGGACTTGGCAGCTCTTGGTGCGTATGCAATGTTGAATGAGTGCAGGTTGTTGATTTCTTCTGGATCTTCTTCTTGGGTCTAGCATTTGTAAGTAATCCCGAAATAGTTTAAGGTTACAGATTTTCTGCACATCTTACCTCAAATGCGATTTGCTTCTATGCATTCTGCATTTCTGTGTTTTTAATGAAGTTTTTTACTTCTGTTTTTATAGATACAGGTTTTTCACATACACTCGTTTGGAAGAGCAGGGCAATAGCCTTAAAATAGGAAACATACAACTAGTTTTGGACAGGTAATTTGTTTTGTGCTCCAAACTTCCTGGAGTTTGGATGTATGGAGAAGACACTTGCTTCTTCATTAAAATAAAACTGAAAACTCTTATCTTCTGTCTTTGCAAGACTGAAATCCTGTAGAGATTTTTTTTCTTTTTTTTCTTTGATACAATTTTTACATGAAGTTCTAAAATGCCAGATTTAAAGTACAGAGCTAGTTCCTTTGTAGTTACTAAGTGTCAAGAGCATTGAGTATGGAGTTTAAGTTCTTTGCCTTTTGAGCTTTGAGGTTATTTCCTGCACCCATGTGGGAGTAGTTTACATGGGGAAGAGCTTCTTCCTACAGCAGTTCAGTTCTAACAAAATAAATATCATTAAATCCCTAATTTACTTAAAAATTTGGAATATAAGTTAATTAATGCTTTTAACCAACTGACTCCTGGTGATTCTTTTCAAGCTTGTCTCAAGTTCCTGCCCCCTTCCGGCTACATGCTTGCGTTGTATTTACTAAGTACTTTTTTTGTCCATTTTGCAATTCATATATAATAGGGTAAAATAAAAACCTGTGAATGTGGGAATGGCATTCTGGTTAACTACTTAAAAGCACTAGCACCGATGTTTGAGAGTGAGGCTGCTTGTGATCTTCTCTTGGAATATTGACAGTTACCTGAGGGGCAGAGGCACAATATTGCAGTTGTGTATATGTGGACAGTAAGGCTGATGATAACAGTACAGGTGTTTTCTGGTTTCACGTATTTTTTCCATAATTTGCAAGTTATTTCTTCTTTAGAAATTTAGTTGACCGGTGATTTCCAGTTGTTGGAATTTCCTTCCATTTGTTGTCTCTGCCTTGGACTGACTCTGGAGAAAATCTTGAAGTTATGTGGGGAAAAATAACTTAGTCTTTCTCTGCAAAGAAATTCAGAGGAAAAGTTTTTAATTCTTGTTTTTTTCTTTTTTTTTTCCCTATCCCTTTATATTTTTTTCAGAAATTGCAAGTCTCCAGGATCCATTTCTTTTTGACAGGAGCAAATGACTTCTGTTTCTGTGTCAGAGACGTGGCCTTTGCTCTTCCAAGAACTTGATGATATTTCTCAAGTAAGTGGCTTGAAAAGTTGAGTCAGTATCAGAACGAGGAACACATATCAAGTAAGGCCAGAAAACACGGTTTAAAAGTGTCATAGTACATATATCTGTAAGGCCTGAATTATAGGTACACAGGCAATCTTGATTTGCCATCTCCTAATTGCATTTCATAATATGGTACTGATTACTTTTTAGTTATTTTTAATGTGGAAAGTTATTAAAAGGTTTTCCCTTGAGACATCATTCCTTTTTTTTTTAGAGAGCCTGGATTTAAATAAATGTTAACTTTTTTTTTCCCCCTCCTTTCAGAATGATGAACGTAAACAGAGGATTGTTGGAAGAACTGTATAAAGGTTTCCTTTGATTGGGAAGCTGAGAAGAGTCTCATCATGGAGAAGCAGCAGATTGTGTTGGGGAACCGGGACGGGGGGTCTGTGTCAGGGGCAGCACCTGCTTTTTTTGTCATCTTGAAACAGCAGCAGGGAAATGGCAAAGCCGACCAAGGGATCCTGGTAGCGAACCGTGACGCTTGTGCGCTTGCTAGCAGCGTGGCAGCCCCGGTCAAATCCAAAGTGAAGACCTGCCTCCCTGCTGACTGTGTCTCCGGGGGCATCACCGTGACCCTCGATAACAACAGCATGTGGAATGAGTTCTACCATCGCAACACGGAGATGATCCTGACGAAGCAGGGCAGGCGCATGTTCCCGTACTGCCGCTACTGGATCACGGGTCTGGATGCCGGCCAGAAGTACATCCTGGTCATGGACATTTCGCCCGTGGACAATCACCGGTACAAGTGGAATGGGCGCTGGTGGGAGCCCAGTGGGAAGGCCGAGCCGCATGTGCTTGGCCGAGTGTTTATTCATCCGGAATCGCCTTCCACAGGCCAGTACTGGATGCACCAGCCCGTATCCTTCTACAAGCTCAAACTTACCAACAACACCCTGGACCAGGAGGGCCATATAATCCTGCACTCCATGCACCGCTACCTGCCCCGGCTCCACTTGGTGCCTGCAGACAAGGCCACCGAAGTCATCCAGCTCAATGGCCCCGATGTCCATACCTTCACCTTTCCCCAGACCGAGTTCTTCGCTGTTACAGCATACCAGAACATCCAGATTACCCAGCTGAAAATAGATTACAACCCTTTTGCTAAAGGATTCAGAGATGATGGGTTGAACAGTCGACCTCAACGTGATTTGAAGCAAAACAGTAACTTGGAATTGGAGACGGGTAGTGTTTCCAGCTCTCCCAGCCACCGCGGTCGCCCCGTGGAGGGTGATGCATTAGAGGTGCATCAGAGAAGTTTAGATCCTTCGTTTGTTGTTCAGAATCCATCAGATAATGATTTGGAGAAAGAATCCTTTAATGCAGAAAGGGACTTCCTGGGTTTCTTGGACACTGAGCTGCCTCCAGGTGATATGCCAAAGCTAAAACAAGAGGTCTCTGAAAGGTGAGCTAACATTTTCTTCTAGCACAAATACTGCTTGAGTAGATAGCTAATAAAGCATCAAATAATGGGGTGCTCAGCAGGCAGTTCTTGTTGCTAAAGTTTGCCTAACTTAAATGACAGGACACACAGGAGCATTAAAAGCTTTCCTTTGCTTAAACAGTTATCTGTCAATCTTGACTTATTCGTGCTTCCAAGGAGAGTGTTGTAGTTTGTCCTGTGATGCTTTGGCTCCATTTGTTTAAAAAAAAAAAAAAGTGTAGAGAAATCACTGTTCACCTTAATGGTATTTAGAATGCATTTAAGTAGTAGTAGTTTTCATTAGACAATATTTTAGTCATCAGGATGTTTTCTTTAGAGGTTACTCATGACTGCAATATGCTGTTTCTAATTCATTTTCTCTAGTGGGTGTGTAAGGATGTGTGGCATAGATGAATATTGGGTTACTCAGGAAAGAACTACAAAATAGTTGCTGTGCTGTTAATGTTGGACCCGACCTTACCCTGGAGCAACATCATGCCCACCTACTTACCTAGTCTTGACTTTTTGAAACAACAGCATTATGCATTTCACACAAGTAGTAGTAAAGCTAGAAAATACGGGGAGCATTGAATCTCCTTGGGTTTTGCTGGTGTGAATAAATGTTTGTGTTGGTCGAGTCTGGCCAGACCTGTTACTTTACAGCACACTTTTGTATAGTTTCTGAAGTCAAAGCAACAGAACAGAGCAGATTTATTGCATAGTTTTTCTGTGTCAGGGGATGTTAGAAATAATTTGAAGTGATTTTAAGAATTAAGGTTTCTCTCCAGCCATGTTTCTCCATGTCTCTTTGGGAATACTGACATGTCATCTGCCAAAGATTCAGTGTAAAAGAAGCAGCCTTAGGTAGGTCAGTGCAACATGAAGTGATTTGACAGCAGATAATGAAATTCACCAATGTGCCTGGTATTCCACTGAATGACACTAATGGTGTAATTGGAGGTCAATTCTTAAAAAAATGCAACCATTTAGGACATAATTGTATAGTCTCTTTCAAAGACTGCTCCACTGCCAGCATTTTAGAGAGAAGAGCTCGCTTGGTTTTTGACCTTGCAGAAAACATCTCCTGGCCTGTTCTTTTACCCATTTTTAAGCCTTCCTTGAGTTTAGTTATAATAATTCTTGAGAAAACTAGAATTCCTTTTGGATCTAGAGTGTCCTCAGCTTGCTTTTGCGGTATTTCCAAGCAGCAACATGTTAGAAGGAAGAATGTCTTCTAAACTTCTGATATTCTCCAATTTTTTTTTGCACGGCTTGTTGAAATCAGTTTCCTTTTTTTAGCCCTAGAGACTTGGATTTTTTTTTTTTTTTTTTTTTTTTNTTTTTTTTTAGTTCTAGAGAATACAATGAGGAGAAGGGTTTTACCAGTATTCAAAGTTAACTATAAAACAATAAAAATCTGAAATAAGTAGTGATTGAAAGATTCTACTGAAAAAATCTTAGTTATTTTTTTTCCCCCTCAACCCCTCCTTGGAGTCAGCTACAATTGGATCAGTTCTCATTCTGCAGTAGAGTGGATATTAAAAATAAAAAGTTAATTGGCTTTCAGTCTTCAGCTGCCTATATTTGGCCAAGGCTTCAAATGCGTATTTTTCTTGGCCATAATAGTGCCCTATGTAGTCTTAGGCAGCATTGCTCCATTTTGATCTCAGTTGCCCAAAAATAAAACAAATCTTTCAGCAGTCTTAAATCCCTAACCCTGGTAAAGTTTAGTTAATGATCTTGTCATTCACTTTGCCAAAAGGACCATTGAGACAAGTTATTTGAAGATCTTTTCAAACTGAGCTTTTCTTTTCCTCCCTCCACTCCCCCTTCAGTTTCTTCCTTTTCCCAATGGCTTAAAAAAAAAATATATATATATAAAAGGTACTGAAAGAGCAGTTATTTTCAGCTGTTTTGGAATGAGTTACTCAGTTACTTGATTTTTTTTTAAAGTCTTTTTAAATACTCAAGAACCTTCTTTAAGAACAGATGCTATAAATTGGCAAATTTCATTTCTTCTCATCCACAGATGATTAATAACTATCTGACTCTGTTTCACCTCCAATACAGTTTACCTCAGAAATGTGCTAAAAACTACACAGAAAAGGAAAAGCTGTGAAGAGGTTTTTTTGTTGTTGTTTTCTGAGCTAGGAAACATCTGTCTTGCAGCAAACTACACATTGCCACAGTCCTAGAGCTACCTTCAGCCTTGGCCAGCTTTTTGTTTTATGTTATTGTGGTCTGTGTTTGAAAGTCAAAAATTGTTCTTGGAAGCACAAGAATTGATTTCATCCAAGAAATGCAGAACTTCATCTCTTTTCATGTGCCGGAGCTGTTCAGGATTTAATTCTCCTTTTCCTTTCACATCTCCCATGTGTCAACCTTTAAAGGACAGTGTTGAGTGAGCTGCATTTATCAAAATAGCTTAAACTTATTAATGAAAAACAGACAACTTGTTGTCCTAGGCAAGATCCCATTCATAGCTGAGGGCACTAATTTGTTTTTATGTAGGGTATATTTCTGCTGAGCTGGGGTTGTGGTAAGAGTCAGAAGTTGAGAGCTGCTGCTCTCGGTTAATGTTCTCAAAAGCTTTTGGTTCTGCAGTTTTTGATGCTGCAGCATGTGGTGTTTCCCCTTGATGCTGTGGTTTGCAGATCTCCCATGGAGAGAATTGCCCTGCACAGAGTGGGACAATGGAAGAGGTTGCATATACCAGGGAGTGATTTTACTCCTACTTTGAGTTATTTACCACACTTTCCATTTTCCCCAACAGTTTAATAGGTGTTTCTTAAAAGAAACAAAATGTGAGTTCAATAGATAGTGTATTTTACGTTGATCTATCTAGAAGTATATTTCAGTACTTTCAATTTATGATCCTTATTTGTAGACTTAGCAGTTTTTAATTAGAAAAAAATGCAAGAAAATGCAAAAAATAATTTTTACACTTTCATTATATTATTGGGAGAAAGTAAAGGAATTTATTGTTTGGGTTGTAAATGGGAACATTGTTCCATCAATTAAAAAAAAAAAGAACTATTTAACAAGACATTCTCTTGCCATTTTTAGGTGATCCCAAATTAAGTGGAGGATTTTGAGAGATGTCAGCTTCCTGTGGAATAAAGGAAGATGCATTCCCGTGACCACTTATGTGGTGAATAATTAGTGCATTTCACAAAACAAGGCCAAGTGAAATTACTTAAACGTTAAAAAGAAACGTAACGAAAAGTTGACTATCCAATCTGAATTTAAAATGTGCAAAAATACCACTTAGCATTTTGTGCAAATATATGATCTTCACAAGCATACTACACTCTTGTCACCATCTGACCCGTAGTTACAATATGCAGAATAAAATAACACTGTCATCCAGGAGTTTTGTTTATACAGCAGAACTCCTTTGGCTTGGGTGCTCTGTGGATAGCAGCTGTAGATCAGTATCTGTAGATAGGTTCTGTACAGTACAGTCCAGATAGGTACTGTAGCCTAAGTAGTCACTCTTTCAACAAAGCAAAATGACTAGATAAATCCAAGCTTGTAGAAACAATGACATGGAATGAGAAGTGTATTCCCAGCCTCATTAAATCTTTCTTGTGCCTTTGTTTTGAAGAATTTCAAGGTAGAGGAGCAGTAGTTCTACATCTGATATATTGAATTCACCTTTAGGTTCAGTGTCACAGGATTTTGGGTTTTGCCCAGAACCTCTAAATGGATCAGCTTAGACCTTCTCTTACTGTAAGCTACCTGAAGAAGATAGTTGTCTAATCTTATATTAGGCTTTTTTTTTTTTTCTTTAAATTGAATGAAGGCTAGATATTTTTTATAGAAAACTAAGTGGTCACAGAAGACAACAGACGTTTAAGAAACAAGACCTGTATGCAGCTCCCTTGCTACCAACTGGTTTTCCTGCAAGGCAGGTTTTGGCTCCAAGCTTAATTCTGGCTATTCACTGTTCTGAGTTGCAGTGGATTTTCTACATTGGTCCTATCCTGCTCCTGGGAGGGTTTTTGTTTTTAATGTAGATATATAAAACTGTGTCCTGGCTTTCTGCTCCTATGGAAAAACTTTCTGCTTTTACATTTTACTTTTCATTCCTGAGCTGCAATTTTCTAGCTCCCTTTTGTTACCTTTGTATGCCCTATATTCTGTGGCAGCTCCGGGCATTTTTCCCTTAAGCACCTCAGTGTATTCAAGGCAGAAATAATCTCCTCCTCCTCCTCTTCCTGCCCCCTCTCCTTGCAAACAGAATACCAGAACATGGTCTGATAAACTTAGTAAAGAAGGTCTATTATTTTTTGAGATTCATTGTGCGTAAGAGTTTGTTTTCATATCTAAGTGGTTTCCTCTCATGACTAGGTGCCAATTTCTAACGTTCTTCACAGCTGATGACTGCGGGTGTTTGACGCAAGTCTTCTGTGACTTGAAGCAGCCTATTAGCTGGGAGTGCAACTGGCTGCACAGTTAGTCTACAGACTAACTAAGTCTACACACTGCCTAAAGGGTTTTGTTGGTGTTCAGACTTAGGTGGAAAATGGAGCATATTTTGATAGGATACTAAAATACTGCAAGTGCTAGAGCAGCAGTTATGTTTAAGAATTGTCTTAAGGAGAATTTAGGATGAGTTAACTAACATTTTCGTTAAATCATGTAAATGGAAGTGCTTTAAGCACTCACTCGGCCTCCTCTCGGCAAGTACAAGGATGGCTTCACAAAGATGTCTCAATAAGGTGGAGCAAACTGAGGCCCCTTGCTGCCAGTGTTTCATACATCTTAACTTCGCATGAGTTCATGTGAAGCCTCACTCAGAGGAACTGCCAATGTCATTATGATACTACTAGAAAAGGAAATAGTGCTACTACTTTCAGATAAGAAATTGCATTGTTTTCACTGATGGCAAATACAGTTTTTGAAGTCTCCTTTCTGAAAGTGTAAGCTTCTAAATTATTTAGAAGCTGAAACTTTGAGGTCTTTGACAGAGTTGCAACTTGAAGCACTTTGGAAGTTGTTTATGTACCAAGGATATGGGAGATGATGAAACTCTGCTAAGAGATTTAACAAAGGTCTTGTATTTTTTTTTCCCTTTAGTCCCATTGCTAGCAGTTATGAAAGCAGTTCCCGGGTGACATCCCCACTGGATCCAAGCGGACACTTCAATGTTGTCATTAAAGAGGAGCCAGTGGATGACTATGACTATGAGTCCAATATTTGCACTCAAGGAATAACTGTAAAACAAGAAGAAACGGATGAAGAAACGGATGAATATTCCAACACAGATGAGGATGATCCCACTGGAGAAAAACACCTGAGGAAGTACAGTGATATGGAAGGGAATGATGGAGAGTTCAGGCCCCGGAAGCGGCTACTCGCCAGTCCTTCAGGTGTTGCCAGAGCAAAAATGTTAAAACTAGAGAGCGGGAAGATGCCTGTAGTCTATTTAGAACCATGTGCAGTCACAAAGAGCACGGTGAAAATATCCGAGCTGCCTCAGACCATGCTGACTGCTTGCAAGAAAGAGAAATCCCCCTTGAGCGCAATTCTGGATTCCTTGCCTGCTTGTTTTGAAAATCACCAAGGTTCCTGCTTAAGCACTGCCATCCTCACTGAGGAATTAGCTATGAGAAAACAGTCTTCTATGAGCAAACTGGCACAGAAATACTGTTCAATGAGAGAAGCCCAGTGGGCTCTATCTAAATCACCAAACTTCAGTCTCAGGGGCTCAGTCGGTTGCCACTTTTCAGCTAAAGAGATCTGTGGCAGAAAAAGGACTGGAATGCTCAAGAACCCTCTCTGCCACAAAGGCCCTGGTACCAGTCAAAATGCCATGTCCTCAGGTCCAAATAAAAGAGGAAGACCACGGAAACTCAAAATCTCCAAGGCTGGTCGTCCCCCTAAAGGTTTAGGGAAAGCTGTAATAACGAGCAAGAACAGCTCTCTGGGGCCTGGGAGTGTCCCTCCGGATGTGAAGCCAGACCTTGAAGATGTAGATGGAGTCCTTTTTGTGTCCTTTGCATCAAAGGTAAGCCTGAACTGTTCTGAATAAAATTAATTGTCCTTTATGATGTAACTACAAACTGGTTAAACATGAGACAAGCTGAAAAGGAACTAAAAACTAAGTTTGATATTTATGACCTCTTTTCTTTATAAATTATGCCTTGTCTCTATGTTCTTTGTAACATTTTTGTTTTAGCGACATGGGAATACGTGACATACTGGGATCTGAAGTTCTTTATGCAAAAGATGGTATATTTCTTCATTAGGCAGTATCATGTTTAATGGTATTTGTGAACTAGTTTGAATCTGGGTCAGTGTTTCAAGGCATTTTATACTTACTCAAGACTTTTTATGTATGTAGGAAGCTCTTGACATACACACTGTTGACAGAGTTGAAGGAGAAGAATCACAGAATCTTCAGGCTCCTTTGTTAGCTACAAATGATCCAGGTACCATTGTTTGTGCTTTCTGCAAGTGGATTTTTCCTGCAATACAAGAATGTATAAAAATGCACTAGAACATAATAATTCAGGTAATTTTGGGGCATAGTAAGTGATAAATATATATTATTTTTTGAGCAGACTGTCAAGCAAGAATACAAGTACTGGAAAAGGAGTTGATGGAGGAGCTGAAGACTTTGAGGCATAAGCAAGTGATACATCCCAGCCTTCAGGAAGGTGAGCATGCAGCGTGCAGATTGTGTCTGATTGTATAATAAACTTAATCATGCTGAACGGATAGTTTCCTGTAATCCTGTCTGTGCTTAATATAGTTGGGATCTGATTATGGTTATTTTTGCACAAGTTATTGGAAAACTACATGTGTGTACGTGCAAACTCTACTCAGTTTGCTACTTGCCACCCAGGACAGTGAGAATCTAACATTTCTGACTGTTTTGAATAACTATCTGTGGAGATTGTTGTTTTTCACACGTTCGTTGATCATGATGTCGCAAGCTAGAAGTTGTGGAGGAGACAAAAGATTACTCTTGAATCTCACATGGAAGAGCAAGAAGCTTCACGTTAGTCCATATGTCTTGTGAAAACTGCTGAGCCTTCAGATCTTAGGCCCTGCTTATTTTGTAATGAGCTCAACTTTGTAGAGAACTGGTGCTTAACATCTGCATAGAAAAGAGCCAGGTGCCAATGCATATTCTTTGCTGTGGATCTAGAAATCCAGACATGTTAACTCAGACTGTGTTTGCTACGTTTGGGTTGTTATTCCCAAGTTGCTTCAGGTCAAGGCTCGCCAGCCAAACCACCGAACTTCCAGCCTGCGGTTTTCACTTCCATGCACTGCAGAGCTCGTTTCCTCTGCTGATGATGTCAAAGCACCTTCAGGGATGAGAGTCTTGAGGCCAATGCCTTTGATAGGGGCAGCAGAGCAGCTGATAAAGGAATTGATCCAAATGGGAGTAACTTGTGCATTTGAGGTTCTGATCCTGGGTTTTTGAAATGCATTCATTGTAGTATGTGGGGATTGAGATGCCAATTACTGATCATGTTTTTTTTTTGTTGTTGTTGGTGGGTTTTTTTTGGCTCAACTTCCACTATAAATTGGATTATCTCAAATGACTTGCACGTTGCCTGAGAAAGAGAGCTAGACTGTCAATCTTTGCCCCCATTTTAGAGAGGCAACATTTTGCTTCTTGGTTGTATTGGGCTGCCAGTGTTGAACTTCATAAAGCTCCATTTCATCTGGCATATAAACCTGAAGCAGAGATAGCCAGCAGCCTGAGAACTCTTGATTTTAGCTGCCCCTAAGAGTCAAGAATGATGCGAGTCAGGAACAGCAGAAGATATAAATGGAGAAGTGATCCACTGCCATGCTGCTTTCTAAACTCATACAAAGTTTTCTGCTAAATATTCTTGATTTTTTAATTACACTTGAGACGGGCAAGACCAGGGATAGGTGTTAAACAAAGTTAGACTTCTTTTTGAAGGCAATTGAAGTGGAATGGCAAGAAAAATAATGTCTGCTTTTGTTTTATTTTTAGATTTAGTTGGAAAAGAAATGGATTATATTTGACATGTTTCTGTGCAAAATGGTAGATTCATGCATTTGCTTCCCATTTCTTTATGCATATTTGAAAGTTATCTCTTGCCATAAGAGAACTTTTGTTACTGTATCTCTTAATATATCTTTTGTGGCCATATGAAGTCTTTAAATTTAGCATTTTGGAGGAGTTGAAAGAAGGAAGATGACAAGGGCAGTTAACGGTAGTGGCAGACAAAAAAAAAAAAAAAGGAGTTTTCTAATAGCCTTTTTTTTTCCCCCCACTTTCTGGTTTCCAAGCAGAAGACGGGCAAGAAGGCAGGCTAGTTTTGAACATACCAGTAAGGACAGCTTGGAGAGAAAACAAACTGCAATTCCCCCAAACAGCCTGCTGAAATCAGGATCATTTGGTGAACTTGTCCTGAGAGTGGCATTGTATATAACTTGGAATTACCTTGTTCCCTTTTGCAGTTCCTCAGAGCTGTAGTGTAATTTATCTTACCGATGGTTGAAACTACAGCATGGATGGCATGTGGTATATGTTTTTGCACAAAAATAGCTTTCGGGAGAAGAGGGAATGAGTGATGCCATTTGCAGGATTGATAACTCATGAGCTGACGTGAAACATTAAATAGTCAACTTGAGGGCTTCAGGTAGTAAATCTGAATTTCAGGACTTTGAGTGGTGTCTAGTTAAAAATGCTACAAGGAGTAGAGCTCAGGTATTTTACTTCCTTAATTTCTATGAAAAGTTGAACAATAATCAAGAAAATTCATTCAATATCAAATAATTCCATTTTTTTGCTGACTTCCGCTCCCCAGATTAACCTTAAATTCATGACTGCTTCAAATTCAATGGAAGTCACATTTGTGGATGCTGATGAACTTCTCAGTCATCTTAAAATACTTGGTGAATGCTAGAAAAGCCAGTGTGTGATTTAGTGGTTTATTTTTTAATCAATATCATGACTTTCTTTTCCCCCTAATCTCTTTGCCTTGAGACATTTACTTGATATTTGTCTCTTGTAGTGGGACTGAAGCTGAATTCTGTGGACCCAACGCTGAGCATCGACTTGAAGTACTTGGGTGTGCAGCTGCCTCTTTCCTACTCAAATTATTCTTTGTGGAACTATCTAGGAACCAATCCCAATTCTCCAGGTGGGTAGAACATGAATTTGCTGAAATCCCAAGTATTCTCTTTAACATTGATGGTCAGAGGACAGGAGTGGCCACATAGTTGAGCTTGATGTCTCAAAAGCGATTAAAGCTGTAGTGCAGAAACAAAACACAGTGCCTGGCCGAAGAGTTCTGGGTAGTTTTGATCGTGTGGTTTTCAGCCTGGGGTCCATTACGAATACTGTCTGGCCTGCTGTGTGCATGCATCTGTTGGGTTTGTAAATGTAAACTTGTGCCCTGCTGCCCTTGATGTACCCAGACTGCTCAGGCAGTCTGCTCTCTCCTCTGCTCCCGTTTTGAAAGCACCTCTTGCTGTTTTGCAGGAGTCCCCTTCCATGTCCCCTGCCTCTTGCTTTGCCATTTCCCCCTTGTCCTGGTGGAAGCAGTGTGACCGACCAGCAGAGTGGCACAGCACTCGCTGTGACAATCCTATTTCTCTGGCTAAAAAGATCTTTAAAAAACTTCTGTAATAAAACATAGCCAAATAGCATGGCATGTATTGAACCTTGGCCAGAGTAGTTTTTGTACCCGTTTTGCCCTTTAGCGAGGACTTACGTCCATTCCTTTGACAATTACATAGTTTGTCATGGAAGAACTTCAGCTTAGTTTATATAAAGAAAAAAAAAGAAACCTTTTAGTTTGTTGGGCAAAATTAAAAAAAAAAAAAGTTTCAGCAAAACTTAAAAAAAAAAAAAAAAAAAAAAATCAGATCATCACATATGCAACCCTTTTCCCTCTGCTATAATGGGTAGTGCTCTTTTTCACTGGGGCAGGGATAGTGAACTTGAAGCTAAGCTTCAAGCTAAAGCTAAGCTAAAAGCTAAGAAAATGAAAAACAGTAATCAAATCCTGGAACTGGTGATAACTCTTCACAAACTTGTTCACCAGTTGTGCTTCTTTTCTTTCTTTTTCTGTTCTTTGTTTTTTGTTTGTTGTTTCTTGTTAAGTATCTAAAGATTCTAACACTGTCCAAAGGTACTGATTTTAATACAAAACTGTCTTTCTCCCTCTGTTTTGGGGAGCTGCTGAAAAGGCAGAGCTTGTCTCTTAGCTCTGTTTTCGCTGGAGAAGAGATAAACTCAGTTTGTGAGACCTCAGTTTAGTGTCAGATTGATTTATTTTTTCAAACCTAGCCATATGTAAAACAGCAACACAAAGCCCTATTTGTTTTTCCTACAATATGACTTAGCCTCCAAGGCTGACAAAAGACTTAATGGAGCTGCCTCTGTTCGCATTTTGTGACTGTTCCTTGTCATTGTTCCTAATATGTAGTCAGCCAAATTTAACAGAAAAGTGAGTGTACGTTGAAGTTTCTACAGGTCTTAGAAAAGCCATTGGCTGAATTGGAGGGACAAATTCAAATTATTGTCTTTTCTGAGGGATGCTGCAGTATGAGGTCAGTATTTTTTTACTGTTCCCTTTCAACCTGCTAAATGGCTGGAGCCTCCCATTCGGGTTTTGGAATTATCTGATTGCACCATTGGTAGGGAAGGAGGATAAAGCTGAAAATGCAGGTGAAAACAGCTTTTGTACAAGATGGAAAATGTGTGTACACAGGAAACCAGATTTTGCTAATTAGTCTTAATTAAAAAAAAATTTAAAAACTTAAAAACTTAAAAAAAAAAAAAATTAAGTCTCCTTATTCTGGCTTTTGATCTACTATTCTTCATATTATCTGAACAGGAGTAAAGAGTTTGCCAAGACATTGATTCCAATGAAGCTTGACTTATAAACTAAGTCTTGCTTTCTTCTTTTCCAGATACTGGATTTCCTTTTGTTTCCAGAACAGGAAAGACGAATGATTTCACCAAGATTAAAGGCTGGCGAGGAAAACTTCATGGTGCTTCTAGAAATGAAGGTACCAAAAAATCAGTGTACTTAATAGAAAAGGGATATTCCTTGCATGCTAAATTCCTTTGTCCTGACTCGGTGGAAATAGCTATTTGGCAATAGATATTTACATATCAATGTATTCTTATTTTGAATTTGAGAAAGTATTTATGTTGCAGCCTCCATACTTCAGTACAATATGATGTTGGAGTATTACAGATGTGCTGTGGTAAACTGGGTAGGTTAGATGATTGGGACAATAAATAAACACCAGTTGCATTGAGCCACTGCCTGTTGAAGACTTGCAGTTTTTATAAACGTGGTATTGTATGTAAAATTTCAACAAGAGCAGTTGTTTAAAGAGCTATCTGCGTTTCAGAGTTGGGTCATGATATCACTGTTTACATTTCTTATAAAGTATACATTTTCTAGAAAATGTGTTAGTGCTCTTGAATTATATTCTTTTTTTTTTTTTTTTCCCATTTTTAAGGTGGTAGTTCAGAAGGCTCCTTGAAGAATCGCTCAGCGTTCTGCAGTGACAAGCTGGATGAGTATCTGGAAAATGAAGGGAAGTTGATGGAAACTAGTATGGGATTCTCTCCTAGCGCGCCCACTTCTCCCGTGGTGTATCAGCTTCCCACCAAGAGCACTAGCTACGTGCGAACGCTAGACAGCGTTTTAAAGAAGCAATCCACCATAATTCCATCAACATCTTACACGTTCAAGCCTGTTTCTATGTCATCTACCTCTAGAAGGACAAAGACTCAAAGCAGACAGTCGTCTTCAAACAGAGCAAAATCATCCTACAAGCCTATACTGCCTTCACCTTTTTCTGCAAAGCAGAAACACAGCACGGCAGCATCAGGGGAAAAGGCTGCCAAGTCCCTCTCGAGTAGCAGTTTGAGTAACCATGCAGATAATTTCATGGTGCCAGCTCTGGATGAAAATGTGCTGCCAAAACAGATCAGCCTGCGCCACGCACCGCAGCAGCAGCAAGCAGCTCGTCCCCCGGGGTTGTCTAAATCTCAAGTCAAGTTAATGGACTTGGAAGACTGTGCTCTGTGGGATGGGAAACCACGGACCTACATTACCGAAGAACGAGCAGACATCTCTCTGGCAACCTTGCTCACAGCTCAGGTAAATCCACACTAATTTGTTTCCTTCTTGGGTTGTTGCTATTCCACATATGTGCACTTTTTAATATTGCTTATGGATGCACAAACCAAGAGCAAGGATGTTAAAGAGAAGCCAAAGCATGTGTCTTTTTGTTGTGGTCTTCTAGCCAGTGAAGGTTGGGAATTGCTGACTTAGTGCAGTATGTGGGGAAAAAATAACCCAGTTCATATCATGTGTCCTTGGAACATCCTTTACGCTTCTTGTCCTCTTCAGAGTGGGGGAAAAAAAAAAAAGGAAAGCTAGTATGGTTTTGCATCAGTTTGTCTTTGTCTATCCTAGATGCCTTAGAGGCACTGCAGTTGAGCTTTTGGTTATGTTCCTTTTTGTATTGTGCAAATTCTATTCCAATTTGTCTTGTCCAGTAAGAAGGGATTTATAACTCCTATGAGTGTTTGAACAATATTGCAAGCTGATGAGAGCCATTAATTGTGAATTTGCTCTCATTTTCATCACAAAAGACAATAAAAAGCAAAAGAGAAAAAGGTTTATGCAGTTTTTGTACACTAACTGCATTTCTTACATTATTTATTGCATTTTTTCAATAGTACCAACTGTGAAGAAATCCTAATCTCATAACTTGATTGTCACACAATAACCTTTTAGCTGTTTTCACAACTAGTTTAGTATTTAGATTGTTTAGATATCTCGGACTGCCTCTTAGAAGCCTTCCAATGCAGATTCCCCTTTGTTTTATTTTTCAGTATTCAGTTATGACAAATAATCACATTCAAACTATATAGTTGCAAGGATTGCTCTGAATGAACTTCAAATAATAATACATTGTTTATATATAAACTTCATCTCATTATATTTTCCTTATAATTTCCTTATAATTTCAAGTGTGTTCTTATTTTTGCAAACCTTTTTTAGGCTTCACTCAAAAACAAACCTATCCATAAAATCATAAGACGGCGAGCACCTCCTTGCAATAATGACTTCTGCCGCCTGGGTTGCATCTGCGCCAGTCTGGCACTAGAGAAACGTCAGCCCTCCCACTGCCGCAGGCCAGACTGCATGTTTGGCTGTACTTGCTTGAAGAGAAAGGTGTTGCTGGTAAAAGGAGGATCAAAACATAAGAAAATCCTGAGAAAAGCTGTGCGTGGGAATCTCGTGTTCTATGGATCCCAAGAAGAGCAGCAAGAGGATGAAGATGCAGAGGAAGAGGGTAACGGGGAAGACGATGAACAGAGGCAGAAAGATAAAAGGAAGAGAAAAAGGGTCGAATACAGTGAGTATTGCTGGACCACAATGACTTTTTTGTCCAGCGTTGCAGAAATTGCCTATCTTTGCAAAGGATTTTTGTTTGGCATGATAGCAGTCGCATTACTAGATGGCAGCAAGTTCTAAGAGGCCTCTGCAGCATCGGCTATGGTATCATGATCTAGCAGCGAGCCACACTTCTACCCTTCTGGTCAGCATTGTTCCTGCTACTCAATTGTCTTGATCAAATAGCTAGAGTTCATTTTAGATAATTTAAGCTCCTACTCAGCTTTCCAAACCTCTGCTGTTGGTGTTGTTCGCTGCAACATTTACAATATCCTTTCTATTTAAAACTATATTTTCAGTTGCAGTATATAGCAGCATAAGTTTAGCTTCATTATAAGTGTGATAATTCATAGTAGTTTCAGGTCTAGTTAAGGTATACTCAGAAAAACAAATTGCCCTAAAGGGGACCATGAATTTACGTTTTCAGCTTCTTGCTAGTGTATTTTTAGCAATATCTGAAGACAGAAAGTGTGTTGCTTAGTGTTAAACTCAAGACAGCCTGTAGAATAAATTGGTTCCTCCATAGAACTGTGATATAAAGTCTGATTTTTTTGTTGTTGTTGTTGTTTTAAAATGTACGTATCAGTGAAGATCACGCTGTCTGTAGCATTTTGCCTTACCTGCTATCACTGTACAAGCGCGAAACAAAGATGAGCATAGCACCGTTTTTATTTTCATTTCCTGTCATTTGTGGAAGAAATCCCAGTCATTTTTGGCTAGAATTTGAGCCAAGTAAAATACAGTAGTATTTTCTGGCAGTGTGAACTAGTGATTGCTACATGGATTAGGTCTTAGGCCCAAAAGAAGATTTCTGTTACTGCTATTTTAAAATACTTTCCGTTTACAAGTGAATTGGTTTTATTTTTCCTTGTTTTTTTTTCTTTCCAGCTATCTGTGATTCAGAGCCAGAACAACCTATTAGGAATTGTCCACTGTGGGTGAAAGTAGAAGGTGAAATAGATCCTGAGCCAATTTACATCCCAACACCATCTGTTATTGAACCGGTTAAGCCTGTGGTTTTGCCTAACCCAGAAGTCTCGTTTTCTAGTAAGCATAGATCTTCCAGTGGAATGAAACCAGGCAGAGTGTATACTCCCAAACCCAACCCAGTGGTAAGAAAGGAAAAAAAAAACGTTCTGTTTCTTTGTATTGAAAATTAAATGAAGCACTGCCTAAACCTTTTGTACTAGACCATTTTAAATAAAAAAAAAAAAAATTGAGGAGAAAGCCCAAGATTTATTGCAGATACATATACTGGTAAGTTAGGATGGATTGACTCTGTGTAAATGTGTAACTCTCAGCCTTGTGTTGATGAAAGATGAATTTGATTCACCAAGAGCCTTTCTTTTAAAAATGCAGTAATATATGTTATTACTTGAAAATGATGAAAACGATTGCTGGTCCTGTATAATGTTTGAGTAACTGCATATGTAGCCTAATTAATGAAGAACTTGCCGAACAAATTAGGCTCTACAAAATTGGGTGTAGTTCTGGAAGCTTTTCTCTTTTTGGATGAGGCTTTGCTGACGATATTGAAACGTCTTCCTCTCCCCTCACTGTCATCTAACAGAAGTGACGAGCTGCATAGAAACCTCTTCAGACACAACCAGGCTCTACGGAGTTGCCATTTAACACGTGCCAGCTGAGGCTGACTGATTCCTCACACTTGTTTTTTTTCTCACTTAGAGTGGACAGGTTTCGCTGAATGGGTTTGGGTGCCTTCCCCAGCCTCACCTATGGACTGAGGTGTACGATAGTGAGCAGGAGGATTCAGGCTGAAATGCTGGAGCTTTCTTCTCGATGTTTTCTCAAGTGCTGTTAGAATGCAAAACTGACTTATAATGCATTAAAGAGTGCCTGAATTGGAGAGGTGTACTTTCCTCTCTTCATTTTATTTTTTTTCCCCTCTCCTCTTGGTAGATTCGAGAAGAGGACAAAGATCCTGTCTATTTGTACTTTGAAAGTATGATGACCTGTGCAAGGGTCCGAGCATATGAACGCAAGAGAGAGGAGAAAAAGCAACAGAAAGACCAATGCAATCCAAAGAGCGGTAGTGTAAAGGTAAGAAACAGCACAAGCATCAAGCATTTGCCAATAATAGGCAGAAATATTGAAAATGTAAAGTAAGTCTTTTTTTTTCCCAGAAACTAATACCTGACATGAGAGTCTGGTTTGATTCGATTGTAACAGGACTGTGGATCCTAAATCACCTAATGATGTTGGTAAACTTATCTTGTTACCATGATTGAAACGGTCTTGTCTCGGAAAATCCTGGCTCCCGGGAGCTCCATTGTGTAAGGCTGGAATGTTTGCTGTTTGGAGCCCTGTTCTAAGATGAAAGTTGTATTATCCACTCTGTCATTGTGCAATATAGTATCCTGAACTAGTTTATTTTGTGATGTGATTTAGTACGGAAGAGGATACACAGGCTGAACTTTTTTTTCTTACGGTTCTTCTCTAGGAGCAGGAATCAGACCCTCAGCCTCCTGAGAAGGCAGTCTGTAAAGTGGACAAAGACACAGATAAATCTAGAGGTAAGAGTTGAGTCTTCAGTATGTTTCAACCACTTGATAGTACCATATGGTTTTTTTGCTTGTTTGCTTGTTTATTTTTTTTAAGTAGATATGATGAAACAAAAGTCCACGTGCTGGGAGGGTTACTACAATTGTCAATAAAAGTTTTATCATGTGCTTGCAGCTGGCTGATTTCTTAAGCAGTTTTGTATGGGTAACGTGGGAGGTATGACAGGCTAAATGTCTGCTACCTACTGTTGCCCTGAGGTTAAAGTGACCATCATTACAGTAGCTTGGTCAGCAATAAAAGATGTTATCCCACAGCAGACTTGTGTTCAAGAGTGATAAGATGCCTGGAAAGGACTAGAGGTCACTGATTTTTGTGTGGATTTTTTGCTTTATTTTGTTGTTGTTTTCTTACTGTAAGTACCAAGTTGTGAGCCTGAGTCCTCAGATTTTCCACCTAGAATTGTACGGGACAAGGAGGTACCTGTACCTTGTTTGGAGCTGTGTAGTGCTGAATTCTTTAGTTCAAGTTGAAGAGTTGAGTTGAACTTTTGCTGCACATAATAAAATGGTTTTGAGTTGCTAGTTCCTAAAGGATTAGGCTAGACATCTCTGTTCTCTTTCAGTCTGAAGTGCCCCAGATCATGTTGTGAACTTTAATGTGAGATGTTGTTAAAGAGGCATTGTGTCATGTGTCATCTGCTAATGAAATATAGCTACCTTTTTAAGCTGAAATCTTTTGCTGATTTACGTGTACAACAACACTCTACATCTAAGGCTGGGAATGGAAAAGTAATGCAACTAGCTGAAAATGCTGATGAATTGGTAGGTCAAAATTAAAACTTGACCAGGACACAGGGCTCAACATCCTTACAGCTTTGCAGAAAGTGCCATTGGAACTCCAATGACAGCAAAAGCTCTGGCTTCTATTTGACGTCTTCCGCAAAAGACAGTTCTGCTAGCAGCACGTTTGCCCCTAATGCTTTTGTAGGATACTGGTCCTTTCCTGACTCCAAGGGAAAAGCGCCACCCGTTGAATAACCAGCGATGCTCTCTGCTGCACGTTGGTGTTGCTTGGAGGTCTTTCATCCATGTACTCAACCAACCCAACTTGGTTTAGCTTGTGAGACGCAATGAGACGCAACCTGAGATGGTCTGGCTGCAGGGAACGAACCGCGAGCAGTAGTTACCTTAGGCTTGCACTGAATCTTCTCTTGCTTGTAAAGCCCTGCAAAGGGAAGAGATGCTTTGAACAGGTTTCATTGTGTTGTCTTGTGTGGCGGAGACAAGGGTGGAGGTGGGCAGGATAGAACTGTTTTAAATAACCAGGTGCTTAAAATACCATAGTATTGCAGAAACCTATTTCAATTCTTTCTCAGAGAAAAGCTGGTGGTCTTCCCGTAGTGAGGGGGATTCTTCCTCCACCTCCCATGTTCATCACACCTCTCCAGGTGGACCAACCAAACTTATCGAGATTATCTCTGACCGCAGCTGGGAGGAAGATCGCACTAAGATCTTGACCATCTTATCACAGCATGTCAGCAGTAACATTCCACAGTCCCTCAAAGTGGGTAGCTTCCTTATTGAATTGACTTCAGAGCACAAAGCCTGGGATGAGAACAACCCTCCTGCCTACTCGTCCAGAATGAAAATTTCAGTGCCTTCTTGCATGGACAAAGATGAGAAGCCCAAGATCCCTGACTTGGAGACTCCCGATGGTGGAGTGGTACCGTGCAAACACCTGGAAAACTCAAAGTTCTCGCGGGCAGACACCTTGGACAAACTACAGGAGAAGTTGCATGGGGGTAAAGGCTTGCCTTTTTATGCAGGGCTTTCTCCTGCAGGAAGGCTGGTCGCCTACAAACACAAAGCTAATATGAGCCCCTCAGGCTTGATTCAGGTGGGTCCCTCTGCCTTTACTGTGGCGATTAGATTCAGTTTCTTCTGGTATCCCAGAACTCCTTAAAAGGGAAAATAAACACATTTTTAATTTCTTTTTAACATAGTCACACGTGTATTTCTGGGAGACAGAAATTCCTGCTTCTTCTAAAAGCTTGTCCCTTCTAAGGTTCACTCAGGGAATCGCACAGAAAGTCTGAAGCCTGGTAGCTTAGGTTGTCTTTCTGGTCATTTGGGTCTTAGTGGCCCAAGTGCAGAATCTTTCTCAGGTTCTTTCTGGTGCTTTGGAAAACCTACCGTAGGCACAGTGGGCAGATCAGACTTCTATATGGATGACTGTTGGAGGCCAGGAAGTAGGAATTTATTCCCCCCAAGAATGTATACACTGGGACAAAACTTTTAAGAGGAAATTGTAGGTACTAAATTGCCTGTTGTTAGACCTTATTGTTCATCTTCCCTCATAAACAGACTGCTCTTTGCAGATTGCATGTCAGTCATGAAGAGACTTCCTAATCCTAAATCCTATCATGCAGCCAAGTTGGTGTTTTCAATTCATGGTAGGAACTGTAGTAATAGGTGAAGATGCTTTTTCAATCAGAGATGTTTGTAGTTATAACAATAGCACTTTCAGGGGAGGCATGTGAATCGGCAAATGAAAGTCAAGTTTATTTTCAGGACATTTTGCAAATATGCTGCCTTCATAAAGAGCAGCTGAAGCAGGAAGAAATGCAGGGGAAAAGATTTCCTGGTTTTAATAGTCGATAGAGACAGACTTTAAGGAGTGACTTCTGGCCCTAAGTATTAAAGTAAATAAGAAACTGAGTTAAGCATAGTGTGTTAAATATGTGTTTGACTTTTGAAGGATGATATCAAACAACTTGGAAGTAAAATGTAGCATAAGCAAAACAAAAAAATCCAAAACAAAAAAAGTAAAACTTCCCATTGTTGACCACTAGAGGTTTAAAGCCTGACATGTAGCAAGATGCTGGGTTTTTTTTTTTCCTCCCAGGCAGCTGGTTATAACCACAACTCCAAATTTGAAGTTGATCAACCTGTCGTACCTGACTTACCATATCAATTGGCAGTACAGATAAAATATATATATCTGTTAGAGCCTCTTTAGGGTTTTGTCCCAGTGTAAATGGCCTTATATATTCTTTCTTCTGTGATACAAGAAGTTTATTACATTTGAGAATTTTATCTAAAATTGTCCTTGAACTTGACAAATCATTTTTAGTCAGGAATGTAGCCTAAGCAGAAAGACAGCAAGAGCAGGTGCTGGCTTCACTGTAGTTCAGTGAGTGCCAGTTCTCCTTTGGTTCTGTAGGAGAGCCCAAGCAGCATCTGATATCCCAGTGTTACAAAGATGTAATATACATGCTTTTAGTTACTCTGAGCAGAAAGGAAAGGAGTTCCCATTCTGAATTGCAATGTTAGTCTGAAAAGACTTGAAAGTCCCACAGAATGAAGCACCCCTCCAGAGGTGGTGAATTAGCTTTTCTTTTTTCTTTTTTTTTCTTTTTTCTTCACAAAATTTCCCTTTTCCCCTTTTTTCAGGTTAATGGTAAAAGTTATCCTCAGGCCAAACTGCTTTTGGGACAGATGGGGGCATTACATCCCGCCAATCGGCTAGCTGCTTATATCACAGGCAGGCTGCAGCCCACAGTACTTGATATCTCCACCCTCAGTACTGTGATCTCCAAGGTAGCCTCCAATGCTAAAGCAGCTGCTCCCGGGACACCATCAGTCCAGGTGCCCACAGCATCAACTCCCCAAACTACATCCTCCACCAGCACTACTTCAACCCCCACTGTGACGACTCTGAAAGCTCATGTCCCACCACAGAGACAGATAGGTAGGTTGGAACTTATTACTGTATTTTACATCGCGTGAAGCTGAAGTACAAAGTGAGTGTACAGCGTTGCTGTTGGTTCCAGTGCAACAGTGCATGCTGCCTTTAGCTGAGTTGCCTACCTAAACTGCCTCTGCAATACATAACCTCTTTATCTAAATCGGAAAGTCTTGACTTCAAAGATGTTGCCTGCGAGTTGTTTTATTAATACTGCTAGAGCATATTTTCAAGAGACAAGAGTGGATGGAGACACTGATTGAATGTTAAGCTTGGAAATCTGTTTTGAGAGTTTTCTGTGATTTTTTTTAACTGTTTTTCATCATACTTTGAGAAGTTGTTAAGGTGAGGGTTAAAATAAGAGGATGACTCTAATCTGCAGTTCTTCACTGTTTGTTTTTCTGATGATATTACACTTGTACCTGGAATTCATGAGAACAGCAAAGATACATGAAGCAACGCAGTGAAAGACAAGATGATCCAAATCTGGATTAGGGAAGCAACAGGTGGGCAGCCAATACCACCCCAGCCTGTAATCTCACTGGATTTCACAAGCTAAAAAGGGTTGGATTTAGTCAGCACCTGGATAGGAAGCCTTCCAGAATGATAAATAACAAGTCTCAGAAGATGCATGCGATACTCAGAGCTGAGTTGGTACTGAAATGGTTACTCCATCATGGCAAGAGGAAGAATTGCTCTTGAATGTTTCATTTTGCATGAGTTAAAATCTAGCACCCATCCACACAATAATTTAAGATCTGAAGAAGCTTTGCGAGAGAAAAGGATGTTACCTGTGTCCTGGCAAAACTCTTAACTTCTGGTGAACTGTTATTTTTCGGCCTCAGTTTTCTCTGCCGTGTAAACTTGAGTTCTCTTTTTGTAATAAAACTTTTGATATTATATATTTACACAGTGTTAAAGAGGTGGCTGCATTTCATTGATGGGTGATTGCTGCATACCGGATTTGCCAAGTTAAAGGTGTAAATCAGTAACTCAAAGATTGACGTGGGGCTTGCTCAGTAGAAATGCTCTGTGCTGTCATACTTCGTACCCCGGTCTGCTTGTCATCCGTAGGGCCTGGAGCGCTGCAGATGGAGGGTTCTGCTCCATGGTGAGCAACGGATGAGGGGAAGATGCTTCCCAGCGAGGGTTACTGCCTCTTGGTTAAAGTTGTCCTATCCAGTGCTCAACTTCACGACGGTCCTTGCAGTGGGAAGGGGACAGGGCAGACCCTGTCCCTTCTCCACCAGAAGTGACGTGGATGCAATAGCAGGGTTGTGAGAACCAAGAAGCAGTGGAAGTGGAAGACTGCACAAAGAAGCTGATACAGGAAGAATTTGAGGTTTAGGAAATGTTATGAGCCAGTTATCTCTCTTGGCTGTTGGTTTGCATGTACTGGAGTTTTGGTTTGCTGTTGGTAGTTCTGCAATAAAGAACATAATTCCTCAAGACCTGATTGTTTTGTATGGCCAGGAAGAAGTGCAACAGAAAGCTATAGAAGTGGGATAGAACAGCTGTGTTTTTAATGCAATAATTTAAGGCATGTTCGGGACTGCCATGAAGGTTTCAGTGTAATTGCAATATGCTCTTTAGGAAAATGGGCCCAAATTCATGCTGAAATGAGTATTGTTGCACCTCATAAAAGGCAAAGAGGGAATCTTTTAAAATTTTGACCTGCAAGTTTTTATTTGCAGCTGCACGACCCTCCCCTGGTGGGGTGTTCACCCAGTTTGTGATGAATAAAGCCGGAGTCCTGCAGCAGAAGATCCCAGGAGTAAGCACGCCCCAGCCTCTGTCAGGCCCACAGAAGATCAGTGTCGGGCCAACACCGATAATGGTTGTTGCTCCCGTGGTTCCCTCAAAGCCATCTTCAGTTAACTGCCCTGGGCTCACTACAACCACCACTACTTCTCCAGTCACTGTAGAAAGTTCCAGTGTAGCAGTAGCTACTGTGAGCACTGCGAGCCAAGCAAGAGCTGGTGAACTTGCCTGCTCTCCTCCTGGAACTACAGGAACTCCAGGGCCTGCAGTCACAGGTGCTCCTGCAACACCTGCCATTGCCACCTGCGCCGCTCCCTCGCCCACCACCCCTGCCACCACTGTGAACACAACAAAAGCTACGGGGGTAGCTACATCAGCAACAACCGTATCGCTCCCTAAAACCATTGCAACAACGTCAACAGCTCCTCGTCCTGTCCCCGCAACGTCCACCTCCACGGTCGTGCTGACGACAACTGCAACAGCTACATCTGTGGTGACCACCCCAGCTTCCTCTGCTGGCTCTGTTCCAATTATACTCTCAGGAGTTAACCCAAGTCCTACACTGAACCCCAAACCAGGTAAGGTTGGGTGCTTTGGAGTGTTCCTGCAAGCTTTTTTTTTTTTTTTTTTCCCTCCTCCCATCACCTTCATAGTTGGAGTAACATCTGTGAATGTAGGACCCAATTTAAATGCAGATTTGTTCCCTTCATCCGTCTTTCTAAAACAGGGTAAGAAATGTAGTCTTCAAGTTGTTCATTTGAGTCTAGGCTAAGCAAGTAGAGAAGGAAAAAAAGTGGCTGACAGAGCTGTGACTGCTATGAAGTGAGTTGGAAGTCTGAAATCTTTTTTTTTTTTTGCGCATAGGAACGCACAATATAATTGCAACAGTGATTGCTTGAATTACAGTACTGGCACAGAGTCCAAGAAATAGGCATGGAGTTACTCTCTCATCTTCACTTGAGTGTCTTTTGTGTCATGACTGAGAACAACAGTGAGAGGAAATTTGTGTCTGGTTCATCCTGTGTTTGTTTTGTCAATAAAAAAGCTACTCATGTAACATGCGTGCAAGTTAAGAGAGGAAGTTGTTTCCAAAACATTTGCACTTGTTCTTCCTACGGCTAGTGTCTGTTTGTAGAATGTTTCTTCAGTTGAGCTTAGGCAACTTTTAATTTTTTTCAGAAGATGCTGTTCCCCAAGCTACAACTAAAACTCCCCCAAAGATGTCTCCTGGAGCAGAGAAGCGCATCGGAGGACCTCGGCTGCTCTTGATCCCAGTGCATCAGACGTCCCCCGCTTTGCGACCGTTAAACAACGTGCAGCTTCCTCCGAGGCAGAGGATGGTCCTTCAGCCTCTCAGGAGCCCTGGTGGCGTGAACCTCTTCAGGCACCCGAACGGACAGATCATTCAGCTGGTCCCGCTGCAGCAGTTCCGAGCTGCTGGCGCGCAGCCCAGCACGCCGCCGGTCGTGTTCCGCAACCCAGGTACGAAGTGCAGAGCTTCTCCTGCCTCTCTAGTAGCTCCGTACGCAGAAACGAACCATGCCGCGGTTCCGTGCTGCTCGTTCTCCCTCCTGGAAGTAATTGCATGGAGCTGTTGCATTTCTTGGGCTTGATAGTGCTCTTATGCTAGGCATTCAGGTTAAGCGTTATGCTGCAGTGTCAAAATGATGGGAGGTTTGTTGCTCCTTGCAGCATGAGAAAATGTATTTGATTTCTCAGACATTTCTCTTTTTCATAGTGAAAGCAGGATTGGAGAAGTTCCTTTGTTGTTTAAATGGGGAAAAAGGGAATTTGCAGGCATCTGACAGATCATGGGTAGGATGCTTGTTGAGAGTACTGTTGTACATACTTAAAATATCTTTATGAATAAAACATGCTTTAAATACATTTTTACTTTCTGTTAGGATTTTTCCCTGTTCTTATAAAGAAGCATCTTGAAAAGACAGAGGCAGAAGCAGGGTAGAAGACTGAAGTGTGAGAGCAGGAACAGTAGTTGACAGTGGTGCATGGAGAGAGGAGTAACGGGTCAGGTCACTTGCAGAAAAATACTCCTGTGCCTTAGCTGAGATGCAGCAAGTTGGTCAAAAATGCATAGAAGTTCCTTTCTGGTTAGGTAGGATTTCGTGGGTGGTTTTTTTTTTTTTTTTTTTTGGACAGGAGTCTAGTGAATATGTGGAAGAGTTCATTATGGCAAAAAAGATCATGATATAATCACATAATCCTGTGGTAGTTTGTCAAACTATGTTTCTGAAAAGCAGTGTTTTAGTTCAATGATTTTATTTTGCCATGGTTGAGAAAATCTGCTTTTACGTTTTTTTCCAGTAAATGGGAAAAAATGAAAAGTAAAACCCGTGGCACGTTAACCAAATGCAGTGCCTTTGATTAAAGTTCATAATAGTGAATTTAACAATTTAACTTGCAATGGCAGTTTTGATGGCAAATTCAATGGCAGTTCATTTTGCTATTGAATCTCTGTCAGTTCTAGTACACCTTTTGTATGCTTCAGGGGCGTTCAGTGTGAAAATCCAACAGTAAACCTTTCTGGACACGGTAGGAGATCTTGCACTAGAAACTTGTGTCAAATACCTGGTTATATTGTGATCCTTGAGAGCTCTGGCTGCTTTAGTACCGCATTAAATACTAAAACTAAAAGAAAAGAAGCATTTGAGGAAGTCTTAACTGGCATTTTATTTTCCTCACAGGATCTGTTGTAGGAATTCGATTGCCTGCCCCTTCTAAGCCTCCCGAGTCACCTGTATCTCCCACTTCCTCTGCGTCTTCCACTTCTCCTGTCACAAATTCAGCCACACAAACTGAGGGACCAAAGTTACCCTCTACAGCTAACCTGGTCACCCAAGCATCTTCTCTTCTTCCTTCGGTACCAAGTTTTGTCTCCCAGGCAGGCACTCTGACTCTGAGGATCTCTCCCCCTGCTGCTAGCAGCATGGCAAATCAAACGGGCACTGAGACTAAAATAACCTGCAGCTCAGGGGGTCAACCAACTACTACTGCGAGTCTCATACCTTTACAGTCTGGAAGTTTTGCCTTACTTCAGCTCCCAGGACAAAAGACGGTGCCAAACTCCATTCTTCACCATTTTGCATCTCTCCAGATGAAAAAGGATTCCAAGAATGCAGTGCAGAAAGATGACTCAGGGACTGCTCAGCAGAAGGAGAATGGGAAGACCTCACGCTCGGAGGAGGCTGAGGTTGTGGAGTCAGAGGTCACAGTATCAGATAGCAAACCAGAAGAAAACGAGGGGTCAGGAAATCAGGGAAAAAATGCTGAAAAGTCAGCAACTGACATCATCAAACCTGAGAGCAATTCCTCTTCAGTGGAGACTGTGGAGAAGGATTCGGGTGTGCTAGAGAGTTCTTCAGATGGTGCTTCCTCCCTTCAGCACGACGTGTCTGCAGATGTTGTAACATCGGATCATTCATACATCAGTGAGAAGCCAACCGATGAGCAAAACGGTGTGGTCACTGAGGAGAAAGAGCACTCTGTCCCTTCTGAAGCTGTAGTAGAGGCTGTTGCAACCAGCTCTGAAACTGTATGCGGGTCCTCAGATGAGCCTTCAGTTGCTCCTGTAGATAGTGTACACGCACAGAGTCCCACGAGTCGGGAAACTGCACAGCTGAAGAGTTGTGGAAAGGAACAGCTATGTGCTGAACACACGGAGAAGCAAGGAAAAGAGAGAGAGAAAGATGTTCAGGTACCAAACAGAGAGGGCAACAAAGCAAACGCTGGGCAGCCACAGGGTCAGAAAGAGCAAGATGGACATCTAGAGAACAAGGAGAAGGACCAGAGAGGCAGTGAACCACCTCTGAGCAAAAAAGAACATCTGGATGGTGCTACTGTGCAACCAGAAATGGAAAGGAAGGAATGCAAGGACTCTACAGCTGAAGCTGAAGGTGTGAAAGAGAAAAAAGGAAGGACGTCTGAAACTAGTTCTGCGAAAGAGCAGGAAAACACTTCAGGAGAAAAGCAGATGGAACATAATGGGGAAGGCAAAACAAACGTAGCTGTGCAGGAAACCAGTAACAGCTCTTCCCAAGAGCAAGGTGCTGCTGATGGTCAGGAGGAGGTGAAAGCAGTTAAGGATGTGGTGATACACACCAACAGTTCCTGGAGCAAAATATCCAGCATTGCACCTGCCCTAGAAAACAGAAGCGATTCAGGTAACAAACCTGATGCATCTGATAAAGGGGACTTCCTGGTGCCAGAACAGCGGGCACAGGAATCCAGGCATCGCAAAAAGGATGACATGCCCACTATTGATATTACTGCTGATGATATGGAAGAGGAAGAGGAGGAGGAAGATGACGACGACGACGATGAGGAGGATGAAAAAACTGATGATTCTGCTGATGAGATGCTGGATGGTGCTTCTGACTTCCCAAGTGAAGAAGAAGTAGATGTTGAAAAAGTGGTAAGCATTTAACTATCGATAAAGGGATTCTTTTTTTTTTTTCAATTGAGCAACAAACATCTCAGAAACATGGATTTGAAAAGATTTGTCATATTTGTAGCCTAGAGTTTAGTTTCTTCAGAAAATCTAGATACAAGTCCAAGTGAAAAGTGCCAGAGATGTCATTCTGTATTCAACAGAAAATAAAATTGATGCAGAAGTTGCAGAATAAGCATAACAGTGTGGTAAGATAGAGGAAGTATCTTTAGATTTTAATGCTCAAAATCAAACTTCATCCAAGCCCCAAAACAAACAAGTTCCACATTTACTTGATAGATTTGATAATGTCATTATGTGACTAAGAAACAGTGGATTGTTATCTAAATTGCATGAAGGTTCCGTTTTGAAAGTGATCCAAGTGAATGCCAAAGTGAGGTGGTCTTTTCTTAGTATGTAATGAGATGAACATGGAATGAGCAACTACACTGGAGAAGAATTTAAGAGCAAATTAAGTAAAATTTGTAGTGATTATATTAGTGTATTCAGGATTTTGAAAGCAAGTAATTCTTTAATTCTTCTGTATTAATATAGTCCTTTCCTACTTGAAAACCAAATTAGACTTCTTTTCTAAACCATATACAGAGTTATTAAATTAAAAGCCAACAGCATTGCTTTTAGAGAATTCATTGTGCTTAACTTCCAGAATAGTTGACTAGTCGTTTAATACTCTGGCTCTCAACTCTCTAGACAAAATGGTATGAGCTGGGCTGCATGAGGGTGAGGATATTACAGGCAGCTGTAATATTCGAAGTTCTTTCAAGGTTTGAGCTTGGAAACTGCACTGTGGTCTTGTTTGAGTAGGGTGCTACTCTATTTGTACCAGTTCTGAGAGCTTCCCTAACTTGCAGCAGGGTTGTCGCCCACTGGGCGAACTGTGGTGAATGTGCACCAGGCACCTGCTGAGCTTTTCAGACAGGGAGGTCTTAGGGGTTTTATGGTAAGCCATGGAAATCACAATATTCGGGTCACAGAGTAGTTGGTTATCAGAGTAGATGTTAAAGCTTGCTTTTGTTGTCCTACCAAGGGTGGTGAAACTGAAAAAAAAAAAAATCATTGGTGGATCTAATTACTATTAATTAGATTCATTATTATGAATTAATCTAATAATCATTAGAGATTATAGGATATGTTTGTTTTGGAAGAAACTTGCTGTACAGGTTTTAGAAACTGCCTCAAATGTACCTTTAAAAGTGTTTTTTCTTTGTTAGAAACAGGTGCTAAATCCTGTAAGGGTGGCTCTTCACCATTGTTCACAGATGTGACTAAGCTGCCTTTGGTTTCGAGAGCAGTAAAGCTGAGGAACATCAGGTCTCATGGTGGACAGTTGAGCTATTTTTAAACCTAAATGTGTTAATCTGTAGCTCTTTTCCTTGAGAGATTACTTCAAAGTTAGAAGCTTGCCAGTGAGTGGAACGTAATTTTATTGCAAAGAATAGAAAGGGGCCAGAACACTCTAAAGTTTGGCAGGATGGTAAGTATGGGGATTCTTCCTGGCTGGAGATCTGGAAGGTCTCCAGGAGGAGGACAGCATTCCTGCTTGTTTCTCCCGCGCTCCGCAGCTCCCTTGGTTATGGTTGTTCCCTAGTTCATGAGGAGGGAGGCCAATTGCTTAGAAAAAAATCCCCAGACAAGCATTGGGGTCTCCCTTTGCCATCTTCATGGTGCATCCTTGAGAGATGGACTGCCAGAAAGATGGCACTTCACGCTTTTCTCTGTAATCTTAGTATGAAGCACCCAGTGATTTGCATGTTTGGAATGGTTTGGGGTGCAGGGGGATTGCCAGTGAGGGGAAATCGTTATTCCTTAGGTGAGAAGTTTGTCTGATGAGTAAGTTGGGGAGAAACAGCTTCTTTCCTATTTTTTTCTTTTTCTTGGAGGCTTGTGAGTGTCTTAGGGTTTCCTCTTGCTTGGGCAACGGTGACCCTTACAGGTAAGGAATTCTGGGTGGCACCAAGGAGTAAACAGCTGTCTGGTCAGGGTTTGTGGGGGACATGCACGTAGCCACAGGTGGTGGAAGTCTGTGCCGAGTACAGGGAGGATCTGCATGCAAGCATCGCTCGTGCTGAGGTTGGAGACTGCTAGCAAGTATGGGCTGAAAAGATGTTGTTTGTGGCCTAGAAATATTTGCTGCAGTAGGAACACCATGTGAGGCAGCATTGTTCTTGCATCTATGTGGTTTGGTGGCATGGCATTGCTTGGAAATAACTGGCTAAAAGGCCTTGGAAGAGCAGCAGCCATTCAGCTCTGAGGTGTTCTCAAGCTTGGTGGCTCTAATGTGATCTCCATCTCAGTAAGCTTAGGTTTGCAAGGGGTAGTCTATGGACAAGCATCTCCAACAAGAAGGAGAAAAAAAAAATAAAGGTTCTTTGAAGAAGACTCAAGATTGAAGAAGGTTGATCTTTTTTCCACCTCTCTAGCTCCTTGACCCGTTCTGTCCCTCCATCAGGTTGTATTAAACGTCAGATGATTTTGCATAGTCAAGTCTTTGGAGAGGCAGTGATGGAAAGGAGGAATACCCTGCTTGGAGGGGAAAATGTGAATGGGTTTGGGCCTCCAGAGGTCCTTCCTGTTCCGACTTAATCCATGATTCTGTGAATATGCTTCTGGAAATTTGTAGAAAAATCTTGAAAATACATGTATATTTGTTTAGCAGGCCTTTGGTTTAGTCAGAATCATGCAAGTTCATCACAGAGCTTGAGATACCGATTGCCTGAAGTGACAGCAAGAATATGGTTTTATTAAAGCATTTGCACTCTTGTGTCAGCACAGTGTTTGCCTGCCAGGCTCTACCAGTGTTGTTTGTCAGACTGGATGAAGTCAATCCGTACTGAGTAGACTGGTAAAGGGTTGGTTTGTTTTATGTAGCTAGTGGACTTTACTTGTGAAACTGTAAGCTCATTCTTCTCTCAAGAAGAGGAGGAGAAGCTCCTTCAAATGCTCTCCTTGACCTGTTGCATTTCTTTCACAGAATTATGTCAGTAACAGAGGCCTGGGAAGGTTGAGCATCCCGGGTAGGGTGACATGGGCCAGCCTCTCTGTATTTGCTTACATTTGGGTATCTGACCAAATTAAACCACCATGGCTTAGCCCATGATGTTAAACTTGCTCTCCAAGGCAAGATGATTGCCTGCAAAATGCCTGTTGGGAATGGCTCTTTGGTGTGGGGTAAGTCACAAACTATGTCCACGAATCGTTCCCAAGAGAGTTTGCTGGATTGAGCTAAAGCGGTGCTGCAGATTCTTTTAGTGTTTAATGCTATAGACAGAATTCCAGTCCTCTAATCTCTTTTAATTTCTTAGTCTAAATATAGCTCCATGTCTGGTAAGATACTTTAACTGCTGTTAAAACTTGTTGTTTTGCAGTCCTTTTTTTCTGAGCTGAACATGAAAATGGTGCAAAACTATTACAAATGATTACAACATTGTTAAAACTGTTAAGTAGTCCACAAAACATGTTTTACTCCTTTCCTTAAACTTAATCTTTCGTGTGTTCTGAGTTTATGTAACAGCATATGGGAGGTTTCTAGGCAGAGTAACAAGATGTGGAAAGGAGGTGTTTGTTGGGCTGATCTCTGAAGTCATCCAGTGTCACCTCCCCTTTTCTTTGATCCCTGTCCCCGAGGACCCTATGCCAAGGGGTGACTGATTCCTCAGGGACTGGCCATGGGGTGTGGGCTGCCAGGAGCAGCCATGGGAAGGTGAGCAGAGAGAGCTCAGATACAGACACGAGGTGCCGCGAGGGAAAGGGCTGACGCTTCTGTGCAACAGCAGAACTTACCTTGTAGCCTGGCATCGATCCCTGTCATGTCTGCCTTCCTCCTTCCTTTGAGTACTTTATTCCTGCAAAGCGACAGCAGATCTACCTGGATAACCACAAACCTTTGGATTAGCCTTGTGTAACTTGTCAGGGCCTCAAAACTGTACCATGATGGCATTTCCAGTAGAAGTCATTCTCTGGTTTTTGTCACTCTTTGGATTCTAGCATCCCATCTGTACTTCCCTTCCCTGCAGCATGGTGATGTCTAAAGGCAGCTTGGACGGTGCTGTTAGGCCTGCTCCAGAGAGGCTCTAGTTCTTTCTTGCATGCAGAATGACAGTGATGGTACTGCATAGAATGGAAAAACTCCAGGAAGTACCGGAAGGTTTCTGGCAACCAGGAGAGTTTATGGATGACTCAGGATCCTGAGCTGGAGGAAACAAGAAGTGCTCTATGTATCATGAATGTGGCAACTATTTTTAAATTATGTGACTTGGCACCTCTGGCACATTTAATCTGTTTCAGCATGACGATATGTGCCATATTTAGTAGGTCTGTGATTTGAATATGACTTTTGTTTGAATAATTTTTATTCAAAATTGTTTTATTCTGTTTGAGTAATTTTCATTCCTCTGCTTTTGTGATGGTGACCTCTGCCTTCTTTCATCCCACCCTGGGGAGGTTAAGAAGACTCGGGAGAGCAGCCCTGCTCCCTTTCCTCCTGGTGAAGCTCAAGGGAAGCTCTGTTCAAGGCTGAGGGAGCTGGGCCTGTTCAGCCTGGAGAAGAGGAGGCTGAGGGGGGACCTGATCAGTGTCTATAAATACCTCAAGGGAGGCAGTGGGGAGGAGGGGGCGGCCTCTTTTCAGTGGTGGCCAGCGACAGGACTAGAGGAAACAGCTACAAGCTGAGGCACCAAGAGTTCCAGAGGAACTTAAGGAAACACTTCTTGACAGTGAGGGTGACAGAGCACTGGCACAGGCTGCCCAGAGAGGTTGTGGAGTCTCCTTCTCTGGAGATCTTTAAAACCCGCTTGGACGCAGCCCTGTGCCACGTGCTCTAGGTGACCCTGCGTGAGCAGGGGGGTTGGATTAGATGACCTCTGAGATCCCTTCCCACCTTAAGCGTTCTCTGATTCTGTGTCTCTATGCAGTTCACTGCACAGCTCAGTGTCTCCCAGGTCCTCCTTAGGCTTCGCCTTTCCTTCTTTCCTCCCTCTTAGTGGAACGTAAATTCAAGCTGCTCTCCTCTCCTCATCTGAGGAATTCTTGGAATTTTAGTACTCCGGATTCTACAGTACATCCTTTTTAATGAATGTGTGAGCCCTGGCATCACAGTTAAGCTCCAGAGAATCTGGACAGTTTCTGTTGCATTTTTGGCTTCCCTGCCTTCATGCCTTAATGCAAATGGGTCAGTCTTGGTTTTTCAGTGCAAAAGGTGAAGGTGTCGCCCTGGCTTACTGCAGCAATACTGAAAAGCAACTTGGATGCATCTGTCTGTGTTCCTAAGAAAGAAATGACTTGATTAAAAAAGTAAAGCGTCCAAAGAGAGAGCATTCTATTCATTAAAGCTAGATGGTGACAGGACATACCAAGCAGAGCAAGTGTGAAGGGCAAAATGTGCTCATGATGGATAAGTGCTGTTCTTCAAGTGTCATGTTCAGCAAATCATAAAGATCTGTGTCAGCGTATAGAGCCACTTGCTGGACATGGCACAAAGCTGCGTGCTCTTCATGGGTGACGTTTGCAAGTTGCTGAAATACTGTGTTGAATCGTAAGGCAGCCTTAATTCAGTTACCAGTCTGATGACCATAGTCTATTTATTCTGGATCTAGGCTGCAAGTGACACTTGGTTGGACCTCACCAACGTCCCAGGCATGTGGTGTCTTCTGACCTTCATTCTCCTGTTCTTTTTCTCTGTGCTCTACCAGGCTCACATGCTATTTTGTAGGAGGGTATTTGCAAGGGAGAACAAATATTAAGGGCTTTAAGCCACAGAAAGGAGCCTCATTCCACAGGCATCCGCCAGTGCGTTATTTCCACAGTCAGAAGACACTTTGATTTACTTTCAATAAGTAACCTACCTTCCTACCTGCTTGTGGTTGACTCATAACAGAAGTTACCAGGGCATTATCCAGACTCATGTCTGCTTTGAAAAAAAGATGTAAGAATCTCCAGTAGTGAGCAATAATAGAATAACTTGTTTATCTCCTTTCCAAATACAGAAGCCACCAGAGATCAAAGCTGCTTTCCTGGGCAGAGAAGAATGGTGTCTTTAAAGTCAGCACATGGAAAAATATCTTTGAAAGAAAGATTGAGATTGTTCTCTGAGGCTAGTAAGTTCCCACCTAAGGTCACCCTCCTTGATCCTCTTTATTTATGTTTAAAAAGATACAATTTTTTTTTGCCAGCCTGCAGTCAATTAGGGAATGTGCATAGCAACGTGTAGAAGCATGGTTGCTTTTTCATCAGGTCCAAAACAGCTATAGCTGATAACCTGAGTATCACTTACTTATTTCAGCAGCAATTTGTGGTACTTGTCCTACATTTAAAGTTGTCAGCTTCTCCAGAAGTGAGTGGCTTAAAATTTTATACCTCTTTGTACACAGTGCCTGTACTGCCCACACTTTGCAGGGCCCTTCCTGACATTGTTGGTGGAAAGTGAAGATGGCTTGGGAGCATTCGAGTAACGTTAAAGCAGTGCATGTTACAGAGCTTCATTCCTCTTCGAAGACTGGAAGCTGTTTGCAGACAATAATTCACTGACATACAGACACAAAATGTGTGTGTGTGTATATATTTTTTTTATGTATATGTGTGTGTATATATATATATATATATGGTATATTTTTCTCCTTCCAGTGCCATCTTGTTAAAGGAGGACAGACTTCATTACTTTTCCAGACTGGTCTTAGTTTCTGTCTTTTCTATAGCTTCTATCACACTGCCATGGGAGACGGTGCTACATACAGCTTAAAAATACTGATATTTTTCTTTTGTCAGGCAGAATTATTCACAATTTTAATTGTTACTGACATCATATTAGAAGTAGCAATTTTTTGTGTTGTTGCTTGAATTACAGCTAACTCCTGCTGTGTGTTATGGGTTGAAGGGTAGGGGGAGAAAGGCTTAGCTTAAGAAAAGGCTGGGTGAAAAAGCCAAATATTACAGGAAATACTAGCTAATGAGGCATCTCACTGCTCTGCCAAAAAGGAAACTATTAACTGAGACTTAGATAAATGGAGTCCTTTTTCTTTAATTAACACAGTTACAGATTTCACAGGCACAAATTTCATGATGGGTGATTGGAAATGTGTATTATTAACTACTGGTTACTACTGCTTGTATGATAATTGAGGCTGTTCTTGATGCCTGTTGTTTTTGTTAGTGCTATTTTAGCCTGATCTGTGGCCAGCTGGCTCAGTGCAGCAGTTTCACCTATTTAATAAGAGTTTCTTAAAACAGTAACATTCAGTGAGCTGCAGTTAGTGTAAAAGAATGAGTACTATGAAAAGCCTTTAATGGAAGCCTTCCATTGATACAGAATTGTGTGTGTGTATATGTGCTTAGATATATATAAAAATATATTTATGATTAACTGTTTGCATCAATTTCAGGTAAGTATTCAGTTCAGAGAAGAAGGAGTTTGCAGCTCACCAAAAGGAAAGGAAAAAAAAGGCCAAGGAGAAGGAAGGAAAGACAGAAGAGAAGAATAGGAGGAGGGTGAGGTTGGGTAGTTCAGGGAAGTGGGTGAGCTGAAGTCAGCGTGAAGGTATAATTGCTTTGCTTTACTTCAGGAGGGGGAGGAGTTCTGCATTCTGTAAGTAGACCAGTGATTATAAGATTGAAACCTGATTTAAATTGCTTGAATAAGGCTTGTTTTGGGTTGGAGGGTGAAGAGCAGAATGTGGTACTGTAAAATGTGGATACAAGATTGGTAATTAACTGCTGCAGTTGCTACAGCACTGCAGTGTTTCTCCATCCCTGCTTGCACAGATGATTAACAAGTTTTCTTGGTTGGAGGGCATAGGAAAACAAATACTTCTTTATCATATAAGTGATGTTTTGTATTGCCTGCAGAAGGTTAGTTGTACAATGCTGTGACTCTTGCTTTTTTTTTCCCTTTGTTATAAGACACTGTTACCCAGTTGATGCTCTTTCAGCACAGCTGGAGAAAGCACAGTGGGAAAGCACTGCCCTGTGAAGGCCTTACTTGCTCCAAGCAAAAGCTTAAATGGCAGAGATCAGTTTTGACCCTAGAAAAATCCATTTTGCAGAAGTTGCTAGTGGGAGCCATTCCCAGAGCTTAAAAAACACCTGCTTGGGGTTGTTCACTGGCCAGGGTAGCTAGAGGTGTTGGTTCTTAATGCTATGATGTAATCTCTTTGAGTCTGAAGTGAAGCAAAATGTTTTGGCCTGAGCACCATTGCTGCGTAGATACTCATTTTCAAAAACGAAACAAAACCTGTTCCAGGATGCGTGTGAATACAGTGAGGATGACGAGCAGGTGGACATTGAGACCGTGGAGGAGCTTTCAGAGAAGATTAACATTGCCCGTCTGAAGGCCACAGCTGCCCATATCCGACCTTCCAAACAGAAGTAAGCATCCTGGGAGAGCGCTGCAGTTTGGGGTTTTGATGCTGAGCTGACATTGAAGGAACCCCTTAAACAACAGGTTTACTGTAATGGTAAGATAAAGAAGGGCTTTTGTCAGGACTTCCTGAGCCCTGGGGCATTTGCGCCCCTATGAGGACTCGGTTGTCAGAATAACAATAGATTAAAGATATTGTAGCTATGTGTTATTTTATTTTCCCCCCTCCACTTAATTTGTTCACTAGGATGCATGTCTTCTAATGTAAAGCATTCCTGAGTGAATTGCATCCCTTCCTGCATCCTGAGAATGAGTGGGGTCACCTTGGTTTTAAGCATGACTTTGCAAGCTTCCATTTTGCTTATTCTTGCTGGTAGATGTATTATTTTTAGGCTGGAGCAGTCACTGACTTAATGCCTGATTCTGTCAATAAAAGCTATAACTTCAGGACAATTGATCCAGTGAAGAAAGTGTGTGTGTGTATATATATATACTCACATACACATACACACACACACACATACATACATATATATATATATATAATATTTTAATTTGCATTATAGTTTGCCATGGTTGAGTAGCTTGGCTTGTTTTTTTCCCCCTTTGTGTGTGTTTTTTTTAATTGCTGCTGCCTTTGCGTTTCTAATGTCAGAAAGCAAAGTAAAAACACTCTTTACCAAAGGTATGTAAAGAGGGTTATGGGGGGGGTTTCTGTCTTGTTCCTACCAAGCAAAAGGATGGGAAAGTTGAGTCCTTAGTCTGTCCTCTTTAAAGATTTTTTTTTTTGTAAAATCTTTGAAGAGTCTGTTTTGCAGTTTTGCATATTACATATTGCGTAATACATTACAATTATATATTTGAATTCCATTTCTTTTTCCTACAAAGATACAACTTGACTTTAATCTTAGATAGTGACTTTGTTGTTATCTATAAATTGCCAAAATCTTTCAGCAAGAAGAGGAAAATAACTGTTGGGTTTTGCAAAATATTTTTTTCAATATGTGTGTTCTTTTTTTTTTCCTTAAAGCTCATGAGAAATGACAGAGGAAGCTGGGTTTTTTTTCTGCATTTAGGGTAGCGATAAAAATGAGGAGACTTTGTTGGTTGTTCTTGGTGGGGAGGGAGTGTTCTGCCATCTGTGTTTAATCTATATTTTTGGGGGGGGGGGAAACCTTAATCAAGACCAGAAAGAAATACACTACAGCTCAGTCACCGATTGAATTTACTGTCTTTGGCATGTAGATAAATACCATATTTTCTGCACTGTGAGATAATTTTACAGCTTTTAGAACAGCTGATTTTATTCTAGGATGATGGCATTGAAGATAGTTTTGCTTTCTTGAGAAAGCTCAGCAGTATCCTGCCTTCGTTAGGAAGGGAAAGTTAATTTTGAGGGACATAAAGAGTAATTCTAGGCTGTTGGAATATAGTTAATGAGAACAGTGTGCATGAGATGAGTAGTGTTGGGAAAAACTTTTTGCCTTTCTTCCAGATACCATGCTCGTAATTCTTCGGATGAGAAATTATCAGAAAAACCTACGAAGGTATATGTTTGCTCTCCTCTTTCCTTTGGTATCGCACCTCCATTTAAAAGTAAACTTTCATCCCAGGCGAGACTCTAATGCACCTTAAATACCTTTCATGTGTTGATGAATAGACGCGAGAGACTGAATGTGTGTATTGGGGGAAAGGGCTGCGTGCACATTAAAGAAAGGACTGCCACTGATAGCAGTGGGATTGGTTTGACTTTATGAATAGAAGGAATATCTGCCTCTTATTTTCTAGGTTTTTTTTGCTACTAAATTTAGTAGCTATATCTGCTACTAATTTTTTTTTTTTTTTTTTTTTTTTTTTTTTTTTTTTTTTTTTTTTTTTTTTTTTTTTTTTGGTGTATATAATTTTGATAGGACAAATTAGATAATGAATGACTGAAATAATGCATTGTTTTTGTAAGTCTTAAGTATGAAGCACTGGGCAAAGGATTTCTGAAAACAGTAGTTCAAACAGTACGTTCTTAGTCAAGTTAAAGATGACTGAGAAGGCTTTAAACTGAAACTCACTGCAGTCTTTGAAGCTGATGGTGTGTGGTAGGGCGCCGCTGCGGCCGGGTTCCCCAGCCGTGCTCGATACTCCTGATACTCAGCCGTGCGGAGCTGCCTGCCGCGGTGGCGGGACGTGGAGGGGCTGTGAGCCTGGCACACCAGGCAGCCGGGCGCCTTGGCCGGAGCACAGACAGGTTCCAGAGGTCTCTGCCTGCCCCTGCTTCTCCCCGAGTTCTTCTCTCTGCCCTTCAAGTTACGCCATGTGACTGATGCTGGGCGAAGAAAATGACACGGGGACCTTTGCAGAAGGACCAAACTTGGCCCAACAAAGAGCAGAGGCTGCTGTAGTCACCCTGAGCTCAGGCTGCCTGCAAGGGCAAAACGGATGTCAAGAGCCAGGTTTCAGGAGCGTGTCAGTGTTTAGATTCCTCCTCAAGCTGGCAGGCATGGAAAGAGCATCCCTGGAGCTGAGGAGTCTTTCCACTGATGCCACTGGGGTTTGGAGTAACCGAAAATGATCTAAAAAATGCCTTACTATTACTTTGGCATAAAAGAAACAGCATAACAATACCAAACCTGTAAGAGTAATGATGAAATAACAAACCTTTTAATGTATAGATGTTGACAGCTATGCGTATTACCTATTGATCTTCATGGAAGTTTAAACAAATGCACAAACTAAAGCCTGTCCTTGGCAAATCCTTTTTTTGATAAATGTCTGTGGGGTGATCAATATTAATGGTTTCTTTCATATTCTTATCTACAAGGTCTGTTGACCCTTAGCCTTACGTATCTATGAAACAAAAAATGAATGGGTTTAACTCCAGGGAAAGATTCAAGTGGCTTCTGTTTGCTGTAGTCGTTTCATTGGTTGCTAGACTCTTTTGGCAGTTACAACATTGGGCTCAGACCTGTGATTTTGCTATAATACTGAGACTTACCTAGGTAGCTTTGTATTGCATAGTGTCTCTATAACATGTTTCTGTATGTGGGGAAATGGGATGCCTGTGAACAGAAAGGCTTGCTCATGGTCTTTTCCTTCAGGGAGGATGCAGCTGTGTTGGTCACTTTCACCATATTTCATGCTTCTTGCTTGTGCTTCCAAGGTTGAGCATTCATGAAGACATGATAGTTGAATAGCATGCAACACTGGTGTTCTCTTGTGTCCTGGAGCATCTAAGAAGATTTCTGTAGAAACCTTGTAAATCAAGCATGTCTCTGCATAACTTTTTGCTGTTGACTTGCATTGTTATTTAAACTGGTCAATACGGTTTCTTCTCCAGCAGAAACCTCACTTCTGGAACAGAAAGCAGAAAACGGAGGCAGAGGCCTTTGCTCACTACCGACAGACCCACACGGCAAACGAGCGGCGGCGGCGGAATGAAATGAGAGATCTCTTTGAAAAGCTGAAGAGAGCTCTGGGGTTGCACAACCTTCCCAAGGTCTCCAAATGCTATATTCTCAAGCAAGTGAGTATTCTGAAGCCTCATCTCTGTGGAGAGGAATTGTTTAATTTGGACGGAGAAGTCAAGTAGCCTTGGAGCCCTACATAATACAGCAGGAGAACTTCTCATGTGTTTGCAGGGCTCTGTAGAACAGAGAAATATGTGAAAGAAACTGTATTCTCAATAGTTTAATCCTAATGATGCAGCTTAAATGACACAGTTCACATTATTCCTGTTTTTGTTTCCTTTGTGAATTTAACCATGCCAAGTTGTGTCTTAGCTTGACAGCTAAGACAGTTTTGAAATAGGCTGAATATACAAATCTTACTTTTTTGATGCAGAAGATACTTATTATTATTATACTGACATAAAATACTTAATGGAAAGATGTAAATGACAGGAAGTAAAACATAAGTTGTAGATAATAACGCTCATCAACTGTACCTTGAAATTGTGGGGTAAATGTTTTTCCCTTAAGAATGACTAAACTTTAGAGGAAAGCAGAACAAGTTGTTTATCCCTTTTCAGTTTTTATTTAGGGAAAACTGGCATTACACGGTACTTCATCCATTGTCTGTCTCTGAGTTTCTCAAGCTGATCAAAATATCTGTAAAGTAATCTGTACAGTCTTCTGGGAAGGAAGACCGCTTTGCTGTTGCTTTGTTTATTGTTGGCCAATAAACTAGCCCCCTGATGCTTTTGTAGGCATATGAAGAAATCCAGGGATTGACTGATCAGGCAGATAAACTTATCGGACAGAAGAACTTGCTGAGTCGCAAACAGGATGTTCTAATTCGTAAAGTGTCCACGCTTTCAGGTGAGCCTTTCTTTTGAGAGAGAGAGAGAGCGAGAGCGAGAGAGAGAGAGCGCGCGCGCGCGAGGGGCTGCCTGGAATAATGAAAGAAATCTTTGCAAGGATGGGAAGGAGTTAGAGGGGGCGCCTGTGGTTCTGGGTCAGTCATTAGTGTTCACATAAAATTGAGACTCTTGGTGCCAAGCAAAGACACGCAAAGCTCTGATTCAGCAATGTGCTTTTCATGCTGATGTGCTTTTAAAAGCAATGTTAGAAATGCTGCTCTTAATTTCCCCTTATATTTAAAGGAAAGGTAGAAAGATCTGCACTGCAAGCATGGACTTGGTTGCTCTGATTTGAGAACTTTTTAGTGGGGAGTTTATGTCACTTCATTGTGTCACTGGTGACTCCTTAAAGCAGCTTTTCTGCTGCATGCTTCACAAATGCACAGCTGCCTTTGGTTAGAGCCAAAGTCACAGGGTTTTTTTTGTCAACTTTGGAAATGACTATTCCTGTCCTACTTTTCTGGAAAGTGATGATAGCAATGTCTGCTAGATGGAGAATGAAGCTCTGTAGAACAAAATTGCCGTGTAGTCTGAGCTGCTATTCATCTGGGCATTTCGGATCAAATGCATGACCCAGTTATGGGGTCTTTGACTCGTGTGGGTGTGTGGGAAAGCTGTAGTACATGTTCAGCCAGTGCCAAAAAATGTGTGTGAACAAGCCTAAGCATTAAATTATTCTTTCTGTCATCTCCTTATGGTATGGGGGCAGAAACAGGAGACCCACCTGCAAAGTGGAAGTGAAAGTTGCTTGAGACTTGTATATTTGGATGAGTCAGTTGATATGTATTTGAGGTATTGGTAAATACTTTGTTTTAGTGGATCCTTTTCTTGTTCCACAAATGTGTCAGGCCTTTGGGCAAGGATTGAAAGCAAAGAACTTTGCTCATCTTCTGGGTTTCTGTGTGATGTGCCTCAAAACTATTGTGGCTTGGAACTAATCTGCAGGGCACTAACTCTCAAGACGAATAGTTTAAGATAGACTTTGCTATAGCATCAACACTGAGTAGGAAACAAGTCAGGATAGTTGGTTGAATTTTGGACAAAATAAATTGTGTGCATATATGGAAAAAATGATTTATAAAATCTTGCATGATTTGAACATTGTAGCGTGGTGGATATTGTAAGCTATATGAGTTTACTGAATGTCCTTAAAGAATAAGGTCCATTAGCCTAACTAATTTAATACAAGATAACATCTTGCCATGTAGTCATTTAGCAACATTTGAAAAGACATGAGCTTTTTTCAATGGCAGAAGTTTTCATAAAGTAGCTGCTCAACAAGAGCTAGTGTTTGTCCAGGCTGAGTTGTGTTCATCAAAGTTGCAGGTAGATTCTAAAATAGATGGATGTTTCTGAAGAAAAAAAATCTTAAATATATAGCTGCTGCTAGTCTTAGGTTATTTACTTCGAGGTGGGTTATTGATTGTTAAAGTAGTTGGATGGAATAAATTGGATAGAATTTTAGTTCAGTCTTAGCTCCCTAGTTTTGGAAAGTGAGTTTGGAAACTCATTGACTTTGCATTGATTTTCCTATAGGGAAAACAGAAGAGGTTGTGCTGAAGAAGCTAGAATACATTTATGCCAAACAAAAAGCAGTAGAAGCACAAAAGAAGAAGAAACAGCCTGAGCCAGAGGAAGCTGTTGTAACCTCAACAGCTAGCACACAGCAAGAAGCATCTGCTGCTCCATCCAGAGACCTGGGCCAAGTGGCTGTAACCAACAGAAGAGGGAAGCCACTAATACTTGCCAGAAAAGGAGGCCATGCTAAAGGTGGGCCACAAGAGATGCATGTTTCACAAAGGGGAGGCAGACCTTTCAGGACGTCTTGTGGAGTCCATCTTTCTTGAAACAAGGCTCTGTAGAGAAGCAGAAACTGCTGGATGGACATTGTTTGTTTCTAATGAATATGAGAACAGCATGTTTGAGATGTTTAGATGAACATAACACTGTGTTTCAGAATGATGGACAATAAATTCCTTAGGAGGTTGCTCTGCAGTCCTATAGAGTTTCACTGCAGTCTTGCAGTGTTCCCAGATTTTTGTGAATCAAAGACATTTCTGCTGATTTACAGATAGAAGTGCCACCCCTTAAATCATGAAGTTGGTAGACTAAATTAAGGTTTTGAAAGACCTCCCTCCCAGTAGGCTAGCTCTTGAGGTGGGAAAAGAAAGACTCATAGATGAAACTACAGAATTATTGGATTTTTTTTTTTTCTTTTTAAGTTACAGATAATTTGTAGAAAGTATTTGGTATTTTGGAGACTTTTCCACCAGAAACTTAAAGAGAAGAAACAAAGGAGTAGAATGATAGTAGGACCACTGTCATACTCCGTAAGGACTTGGTGATGTTTCTTGCCTTGATCACAGAGCTTACTTGAAGTGGTCCTGGGCTTTTACCAAGGAACCTATCGTTTCTTTTTCCCAAGCCTCGTTTTTGTCCAATCCAGGAGAAGTTGGACATGAGAGTTGGATGTGGTGAGGGCCTTCCCATTCTTTGGACTGAACAAAGTCACTTGGGAATTCCCCACGACTGCTACCATCTTTGATGGCCACTCTGGAGGGTTAGGATTGAGTTAGACTGGATGAGGAAGTCACACAGACTTGTTCTAGCCACCTATTTAAGGTTTTTGGAGCCTGTCTGACTTCTGCAGCAACTTTCCAATTTGGGCTTGTCAACCCTTTAGCTGCTCTTTCTTCCACACCTGTACTTGTCACTATTAGAGGTGCTATATTAGAATAAATTAACCTGATTTGTATTTATTTACTTATTTATTTTCAGAGGAAACTTCATCTTCTCTTACACTAACTGCTGCAAGCCTAGTGATGACTCCACAAGGGCAGGTGCTTACGCTGAAGAGCCCGTTAGTACCAGGGCAGGTGGCAGCTGTTCCTTCCACGCTCTTGCAAGCTGAATTAAAGCCTCGAGCTGCCACCACTACCATGACAACACAGCAAGGTATGATCATATATAATCACATACTAATTGGGTGGTGTTCATTGATGTGCAGATCTGTTTGCAAAGTAGTGTTTTACTTCATGTTTGTTTTGAATTTTCAATACCTTACAAGTTGTAATCTGAATGAGATTGGCACTGATATATTTGTTATTATGAATGAGAACTGGCAGTGATATATTAGGTATAATTAACTCAAACTCAAGCAGTTTGTTAACAGGTAAGAAAAAAATGTTAAATGTTGATTTTATCCAGTCTAGGGAGACAGGAGCTCTCAGGACTGATAATGCAAAAGAAAGAATGTGTAGAAATTAGTCTCCTAGTCAGTCTGTATCTCTCTTTTTTACCGCTTTCAGATGATATGTCAGTTCTACATAGAAGTGTTCTACATAGAAGTGCAGGGCTTTTAATTTTTCAGGCTTGACTGAGTATTGAAAGGGTCTTGTTTCCCTCTTGCCCCCTCCCATTTTCTTGGATAAGGTATCGCTTCTGTGATGATTCAGCTGCCGGGATCAACAGTTCCTGTCCAAGTAAAAGGAATCCTTACCAACTCCACCATTCCCATTACACTGTCAACTGTTGCTGGAAACCCAGTGCCCTCAACAGTAGTACCAGCTGCAGAGCCCAGTTCAGGTAGGCTCTTCCCTTTTTGTGCCTCATTCTGCTTGTGTGCAGGGGACTTTATCCCTGCAAAGATGACGCTTCATTGTTTTTCTCTCTGGAAGTAATGCTAGGTGTTACTGTCTGAGTTTTCAAGGAAAATTATGAGGTTGGAAAGAACTCGAGGCTGGCTATAGATAAGAACTTTACTTAGCCTAACTGATTCTCCTTGCCCACAGCAGAACAAGTGGGGTTGAAATGTGTCCGTGGTGTAGTGCATTTCACTGGGGAGGTTACAGGGCCAGGAGGCAGTGGGGCTCTTGAAGGCCTTTGCCTGTTTCCTCAGTGTCTTGCTGCAGCACAGCCCCTTCCCACATGCCCTCTGTGCTGCCCTTGCAGGCTGCATGTGAGAGAAGTGTTTTCCAGGACTGAGCACTGTAGCACTGTATGCTGGGCATAGGTGTAGGGTGGCCCCTCACAGCAGTGTGCTGCTTGCAGTATGCTGTGGTAAAAGGAGACCATCAAATTTTTGGTTCAGTGCAATCAATTGTCACAAAAATAGTATTTCAAAATAGAGATGTGTAGGTTTGAAAAAAACAGTGAGGGAGAAAATTCCCATTTTATTTTTCTTGTGAAGCACCATAAGAATTATAAATATTACAGTTACTGGTGTTCTTGCATTATGCTGGGAGAACAGACAGGGCAAGTGACTTTGTGACAATAGATGCAGAACTTGTTCTTTTTTTTTTTTTTTCTCCTCTCTCTGTTGAAATTTTAACAGCTTAACTTTGAAGGCTTTAATTGACCAAAAATGTACAAGTAGGTTAAATTGTGAGTAGTAGCTTACTTGGGGAAGATTTGATAGTGATCAAATTGTCTTCAGATCAGGAGCTACCTTGCTGTTTTCTTGGATCCTAATGGATTTTGTTGTTTGGTTTTGCAGAAATTGAAGATTCATTCATGATGCCAAAGATTGTTAATGTAACATCACTGGCTGCTGAAGGAAGTATGAACCTAAACCTGAACAGAAATAAAGGCTCTAGTGCAACGGCCACTGCAGGTACTCAGATTTCTGAGAAGTCCGTGGCAGCTGCACCTCCCGAGAGCAGGAAAAGCGATAGCATCCTCTCTGAAGAAAAAGGCAAGCCGTGTGCTGCAGACAGTGGCGGAGATGGCAGAAGTACCACAGGTCCCACAAAAGTTTTCTTTGAAAATAAAGATGCCTTTCCGCAGCTCCGGAATGTGCCATGTGCAAAGGAGCCTCCAGATTCCTTTAGTAAAAAGCTCTGTGTTGGGGAGTTCGTAGGAAGCCAAGCCAGGAGGAAAGACAGTGATCCTGGAAGGGAAAGGTTAAAAACAAAGGAGTTGCCATTCCACAAGCTGCAGATTAAAGATTCCAGAATAGAAATGGAGCTGAGAAAAGTGGCTTCCGCAATGGAAGAAGCAGAACTGGATGTGGGTGAGCTGCTGGGCAGCATTGAGGAGAGCGATGACACTGATGAAACCCTCACGTCGCTGCTCAATGAGATTGCCTTCCTCAACCAGCAGCTGAACGATGATGCCTCAGGCATGTCAGAGCTACCCAGCGCTCTAAACTCGGACTTCTCTCATGGAGATTCGGAAGTTCGGCGGGGAACAACCAGTGATCTCAGTGCTGCGGATAGTTCTTCCTTCCAGTTTGGCCCTTTGGGAGGCAGTTTTAAGGACCTTTCTGAAGTTCCAGAGGGCGGTGGTTCTATAAGTCCTCTCCTGCTGCACCTGGAGGACGATGACCTTACTGATGGGGACAAGGCCTCCGGGGAGCCTTCATCTGAAGCAGATGTTCTAAAGATAGTAATTGGTGCTGAAATGAAGGATTCACTTCCCAATCCCAGTGGTGAAAGTGGCAAAATGGTAACATCCCCTATGGAGTCAGCTAGTGCGACCCCACCAGTTTTGCAGATGAAGACGAACGCAGAAGCTGGTAATGCTGACACTTTGTGGAGGCCCATGCCCAAATTGGCACCACTTGGCCTAAAAGTGGCAAGTCTGCCAGTGGACTCGGAAGGACAGAGTGCTAAAGTGATGCCCCTACTGGCTCCTGTAGTTGCAAAATTGACACCCACTGGGTCAAAAACTTCATCATCTGCAACTGTTCAAGAAGGCCAGGATAACAAAGTAATGCCCACTTTAGCACCCGTGGTTACAAAATTGAGTAATAGTGGGACCTTGCCTTCCAATTCAACAGGCAAATAAATGCATATATTTTTTTCAAAAACTGGAAAGAAAATCTGGAGCAGCGTGAACTAATATCTGAGTTTCGCAACCTCCCTAATTTGCAACTCTCATTTTCTATATGGTTTCAGCACTCTGTTCCTGAGGGCAGGCCCCGAAGTGAGACATAAGTGCTATGAAACTTAAGTCATGTTGACGTATTTTTACCTCACTGTTGCATTCTGGATACTTTCCTTCCCCTTCACAAAACAAAGAGGATGAAATATAACCATTGCTGGGCACATGGTCTCCTTCCCAAATTGGATCCTTCACAGAAATAATTTGTAAAAGGACCGAGATACCCAGGCTATAGAGAAAGATTTTTCCCAGCAGAGAGGCAGTTTTCTGCGATTGAGGAAAAATCTGTGTTACTTGTTTTTATATCAGGCGAATTATCTATGCAGAAATGAGATTATTCATATTTGCTACTTCTACTCGCAGAATATGATGAATGTGCAGAAATGAGATTGGAGTTGCTCTCACCCTTGTTACCTAGAGTGGAGGAAAGGAAATGGGATGTTTAGCAGAGTGCTGAAGTGAAAACCTTTCTCTTCTTTGGTGCTAGATAGTTCTCTGGTATAGGCTCTTTTTAGGAGCTTATGCCCAGAAGATTTTCATACATGTCTAGAACTCCCACCAAATGGGGAAGATGCTGATCTTTTCCGGGGTAGTTAGAGCTGGGACAGCATGTTAAGTATAAAAGGAAAATGATAATGCCACCCTGCACCCTGCTTTCTTCTCACCCTCTATACAAGCAGCTCTTCCCTTGGTGATGCTTGGGGCATCAGAAGGGAAAATTTCCGAGAAGTAAATCTGAGCACCCCCTTGCTAAGTCTTCAGCTCCAGCGCTGAAGCAGCCTAAGTGTATTCCCAGTTCTCTTATTTTCTTTCCTCCCCTTATTCTGGAAGATGTGTTTGGTGGCTAGGATATGCTAATAGGAAGTGTTGCTTCTTAAAAGTACAGAACCCTTTCAGGACTGTTGTAACAAAATTACTGAGTGAGGTGTATATGTGAATGTAAATATGAAAATACATGTGTATATCTTTCCAAACCTTCCATTTCTCTACAAATTCAGGAAAGGTACTCAGAGGCTTCTCACTGCATTTGCACAAGATGTGTATAGCGCAAAAAAAAAAAAAAAAGAAAAAAAAAACTCAACGAAAATGCTCATTACCAGGGAAATAGGGCAGTATTGAATCACAAGATGTATTTTTTATTCTTTTCTGCCACTGCTTACTCAACCTGTAGGAGCTCTTCACTGTTCAGCTATTGGACGCAAAGGGCCTGCAGACTGTAAAGATATTTATATTTTTGTACACAATTTTTGTTTTCAGAGTTTCCTTGACAAATGAAATTTTGCGCCTATGAGAGATGCTTTGTTCATGAGCATATACACGGCCTTTCCCTGCCAGCCTTGTAAATAACAGAAGTCACCGTGCGCTTGAGGGGCTTCTGCAGGGCTCCTGCAAGGTGAAAGCCGTGCTGTGAAGAGGATCCCGCGCCGGCCGGAGCTAGGAGGTGCATTGGGCTCCGTTTGGGAGCGAATCCTCGTGCTGCCACTGCCTTGGGCCCAGCCGCTGCCCGCCGGTGGGTGAGGCGCTGTGGCGGCCATTTTGCGGCGCTGCTGAGGGCGACATTTTGTGGCAGGAGAGGAGCGGCGCCGGCCGCGCCCAGGGCGACCCCATGCCCTGGTCAATAAGCTGCATTTTCAGGATCTGTGTCTAGGATAGGTTTGCCGGGGATAGGCATCCTTTGGGTGTTTCCTTGTCTGTTTTTATGGTTTTATGTTAACGCTGCAGAGCGGAGGGAATCCATTCTTCAAGCTAGGGAGGCACGAAGTTACTCCAGAGGCTACATGAAATGACGTTGTCTTCACCTGACCATTTTAAATGGTGTGTTTTAAAGTTGCACACAACTTTTATTGCCTTTTGCATATTTACTCTTTTAAGGTTTCATGCAAGTCATGTATTAATGAATTGAAAAAGAGAATACAAGTCAGCATGTGAGCCATGCAGGATCTTACTGCCTTAGAAAAGGGAACTAGCATATGAATACATGTTGACACTTTTTTTTTAATATGAAAAGTTTTAACCTAATTTTAAATCATTGGAAATCTGGAGTAATGTTGCTGAGTATTTCTAATAGGCTGAGGTTGCTTTGCTGTTTTGTTTTTCTTTTTTTTTTTTTCCTTTTTGTAAAGGCAGCTTGTTTTGTGAATAGATTCCATTCGTCCAGTGTATGAAAGGGCAACCAGGACTGTGCTGTCATTCCTTTGGTTTTCCTAATCACTGAATTGTCTTGCTGTACCCCTTCTTGCATGGTCCTGAATAGCTCGTTTTAATTGCAGAAATACGTACTAATAAGTTTCTGAACACTTTTAAAAGTGTATATTGTCACCTCCCAGAGAAAACAGGAATTCAAACTATTTACATGTTATTTAAAACATGCCCTGTGGTCCTGAGGAGTTTTTTTTCATTGTGAAGATGGAGAATGCCTGTTGTATTTACTGGATGGCACTGGGCAATGAGGACTTTTTGCTGCTGTAAAAATACTGTAATGGTGACAGCAGAGAATTTTAGCTTCTAAGCGTGATCACTGAATTAACTAGGAATAGGTCTCAAATTCAGCTGCAAAAAGTACTACTTGGTGCTCTTCCAAGGATATGTGATGGGTTCTGCTTGGCAACAACGCGTGTTGGAAATGCTCATTAGTCTCTGCTTCTCCTTGTTCCACCATCTCATGTCAGCAGCTTAATGCTTTGCTCTGAGTGGAAATGGTGACTTCCCTTTTCCCCAATTCCCCCGCACTCCCACCGGCTCGGGACAGGCCTCGAGAAGCGACGACGTCTGCCGGCAGCGAGGCAGAAAGGCAAGAGGAGGAGATGAGTCGCGCGAGGAGTTTGAGAATCAGGAGAACGAAGGAAACCCCTGCAAGGAGCACATTCTCACTAGACCAAGAGACATGGAGATTTTCTTTGTTTTTTACACATCTGTAAATAGACTGGAATGTTTTTAAGAATATAATGAAATGTCAGATTTAGCTTTTTTTCCTTTTATATATTAAAGTATATCTTTCCCTCTTTTCTGCTTTTGAGAAATTGATATTTTTGTAGAAATCTAACAGTACAGGACTCTTAAATAACTGTATGTGAGGGACAAAGTGTAAAACTAAAATAAACCAATCAAGCTCAACTAGAAACTGCCTTTGGAAGTTTATTGCAGAGAGGGAGAGGGAGGGAGGATGGAAGAGGAGTCATGCTGTTGGCAGCAATACACGACACATACTTGCCAGGGCAGAGTTTTTGGCAACGTAAATGTCCATTTCTTGGTTCAAGTTCCAACCAGAGGAGAAGATTGCCAGAGGCAACCCAGAGGAGAAGATTGATCTCTTGATTTGGTCTTGGGCAATGGGCAGGACCTGTTGGTGCCTGTAATAGTGTGGTAAGAAAAAAAAAAGATTTGATGCCAACTTTTAAATGCAGAAAACATGCTGAGAAAAAGCCCTGCCCCATGCTGTGTAAGCAAGAAGGCTGCTTAGCAACTCAAAGGGGTTAATATGTCATAATGTGTAAAAGAAGGAAATAGTGAAGGATCATGAAGCCTATGTGAACCCTCCTTGCTTCTTTTCCATCTTGGAAAACTTGTCACTTGCAGACGAGTTCTCCAGCCCCCCTGACTTGGTGATAACACATCTGAAGAACTATACGCAAATGATAAGTCAAAAGAGAGGTGTTGTAGAAGTGTAAGTGCCTGTGGGAAATCAGCATGTGTCCACTGCTATTGCTTCTTTATCTATTAAATAGAGAACAACACACTTCATGCACTTCTAAAGAAAAATCTAGCGATGGGCAAGTTAGACTTGAAAACCTGACAAACTGACAGAAGAAAATACAGTGGAAGAGAAAATCATTCCTGAGGGTGAATGATGGACTGGAGAAGAGAGGTGTTTTCCCCCTCAAGAGGAAGATCAGAAGGCACCAGAACAAATGAAAACGGGGATAGTTGTCAGATGATGCATTTTTGAAAACTTCTGATGAAGCCTTTCACCAAGGCCTCTTATCCCATAGTACTTGTTTTAAGGAGGAAGAGATTATCTCCTGCAATGGGAAGGAGCATAATGGTGAGGAATTCAAGTCCAGATGACAATGGAAAGAAGTTATCAGCAGAGTCCCATGGCAGACTGTGCTGGGAACCTTGTTTTTCAGTGTATAATGTTCCTGGAAGAGCAGTGGATGGGACAAAGAAGCTCAGGAAGCTGGCTATGAAAAGTTAAATGGGGTCTTCTCAATAACGGATCAAAAGGCCATATTTGAGGCCATAAATGCAATGCAAAAATAAGGAGAGTGCAAGCTTGTCCGTAATCAGCAACGATGGGATCTAAATTAGTTAACGACCATTTGGGATCGCAGTAGCAAAGACCTGTAGAGCTCTCCCTGAAGCTAAGCTTGGTGCTTTGCTTGCCCTTCAACCAGCAACCAGAAAGACATCCCACAAGACTGTACCTGTATATAAGTCCATGGTTATTTCTATACACTTGAATTCCACGCTGCTTCCTGCAGCCTCAGCCACGCACCTTGGATGTCTGTCCTGGGTCACTTTTGGAAGCTGGAGGCCTATGACAGGAGCCTGCTGTTTTGGTGTCTTCCCTCTTTATTTTGCAATTCTGCCCCAGGAAGGATTTGGAGGCAGCAGGTGCCATCTGGTGACATCTTTGACCAAGAGGAAACCATCTCTCCTCTCTGGCCTCTCACCAGCATCTCTCTGAGTACAAAATAAAAGCCAAGGCCCCTCTTCAGCGCTGGCGCATGCAGGAGCCCCTCCTGGTCTGCTTTAGTAGCGGGGGGAGTGTTTGTTCACTGGCTTCATCCCTCCTTCCTGAGCTCCACCGTTCTGCCCAGTGCGACCGCGTGCAGCCCGTGATGCCTTGAGGATACAGCCCGCACGTGCAAGGCGTAGACATAAGAAGCTGGTGCATCGACAGCGCCTTGGTCAGCAGGCAGCTAGTGAGGGCAGCCGTGCCCGTCCTGGCAGGTTGTGGGATGCATGGGCAGGCTGGGGAGGGAAGAGAGTGAGAAGGTGCGAGAGCAGAACTATCCATCCCTGCGCTTTCGAGAGCAGAACTGGCCGTTCCCTGCGCCCTTGGGGGCAGAACTGCCTGTCCCCTGCACCCTCAAGAGCAGAACTGCCCGTCCCTGCGCCCTCGAGGTCCTCTGCGCCCTCGGAGGCCTCTGTAGTTCTCAGCTTTGGACACTAAGGGGGGCCCCTCGCAAGCGCTGGCGGTCGCAGCCTGCCTTGGCTCTTGGGTTGAAAATTACAGAGAGCCTAAAAAAAATAGATACACAAGCGCAAGCCGTCTACCATTTTTCATTGTTTTTAGTTTTGACAAGCTCCCTAGTCAACAGCTGCGTGAAATAACTTTCCTGGTTCCTCTGCTTTCCTGACCGCCCCCTCGCCAGCCCATGCCAGGTACTGGGGCTCAACAGAACCATCAAGGAGCGCAGCTCCGTGCTGGTGTCTCCAGTGCCTCTGGGTTGGCACCAGCTTTTGGGGACAACTTTTTATGGCGTACGCTCGTGTAGTCTATGGTGCAAAAGGGCCCGGTGCTGACTGAGGCTCCTGAGCACTGCAGTGCTGTGACGTGCTTTACAACGCAAAGGTGGTAGCAGATCTATCTGGAGGTATCTCCCGTGGTGGTGAAAGCACCCATGGGCTTTGCTGAGGCGGTCACTGGCTTGTGGCATCTGCTGGTGAAAGCTCCGCTGCTTCCCACCCTTCCCCTGGACCTTCTGCAGTGTGAAGATATCGACGAGACTTGTTTAATTTGTAGCTGCTCAACTGTTCTGATTAACAAGAGGCCCCAGAAGGAACAGAGACTGCTCTATGGGTGGTTTTCAACCAGCACACGGCTTCTCCTCCAAAGGGTGCTGAGCACGGCTGCCCCAACAACATGCAGCCAAAAGTTGCAACCAAATATCCCACACCAACATGTAGCCAGCTCTTTGATTCATCCAACTGTTGAATCCCTGTGGAGTTAGCAGAGTCACTACTGTGTTTTGCATGATGTGACCTGTAAGGCCATGTGCTGCTGGGCTGCAATAGAGCTGTACAACCAGGATGTGCTTCCCTCTTGTTGGAAATACTCAATTGCTCATCAGTGAGTTACCTGCAGCATAACAGCGACATGAGCCTGATGCATATTCTGTATCCCTTCAGCCTGGTGTCCTCCGGGTGCTGCCTGTCGTGCGCTACCCTGCAGGGCAGCGGGGCCTTTCCGGTGCCCCCAGACATCGGGAGCGCGGGGCCAGGGCCTCCTCTGTGCCCGCAACCCATGCCTCGATGCCCGGCCAGCGCCTCCTCTGTGCCCACATCCCGCGCCCCGCTGCCTGGCCTTGCCTGCGTGACCGAGACACTGGCAACTGCTCTCGCTTAGGCAGTACTTTCCACCCCAGTGAATCCTAACACAATTATAAAATTACCGCAGGGATCGTGCCATTCCTTGAGCTGCCTGGGGGAAAATCCAAGTGGTGACCAGATGTCTGGTTTCTTCAGTATCAAGCGGAGCGTGGAGCCATTTGGGGAAGCAGCTGCTCAAGAAGGCTCTTCCTGCTGAAGCAGCTCGTTGCGTGGCACGGGGGAAGCCACACGGTGCCCAGCCCCAGAGCCCTTGGCCCCTTTCCCATCAGGGCACAGCTCATGTTTTGTAAAACCAGCACGGCCCAGACAAGGTCTCTGCATCCCAGGCAGTGCTGTGCTGGAGTGGGATGCCGAGCCGAAGGGGTGTCAGGAGCAAACACTCAGCACGATGGCAGCAAGGACGACTCACCCTTTCGGAAACCCAGGGAACTCTTAGTGCGGATACATATGGCAAGTTTGTCCGTTTGGAAACAGAGCGAAAGGGCTGAACTGTTTATGCAGAAACGCTCCCCAGGAAGGGGCCCGCTTGCTGTTACAGGCCGAAGAACGGGTGAGGAAAGGGAGAAGCAGCCCTCCCGCTGCGAGAGAGTGAGAGCGGAGAGGAGGAGTCTTGGCAGGGCTCGGCCCATCTTCCCCACTCCCTCTCTATCCTCAAGAGCCCGAGGGCTCCTTGAAGCGCTCAGGGGACCAAGGCTGGGCGGGCGCCCGTGGGCTGGTGCTGGTGGAAGGTCGGGGCTGCCACTGGCACCAGGGCACCACAAGGCGCCACAGGGACCTCTGCACAGCGCGGCCTGGGCTGGAGCGGCGCGTGGCCGTGGGGCTGCACGGGCCTCGCTGCCCAGGGCACATGGCAGCTCCTCGTGCTGCTGGCGGCCTGGGCCAGGCTAAGGCGCAGCCTGAACTTGGGCTTTAGCAAAGCTTGAATATGTGTGAGCATTTCTATGCACCAGACATGCAACACAAGAGGGGGGGATTTTGCCTCCTATGGTATCTTGATGCTTTTTATTTTTATGGTGTCTTTCTGAAGTAATGATTAACTGCTGTTCCTCAACCAGTGTTTTCACTGCAAGGTTATGGTGACTCTGGTTTCTCCACATGAGGCCAGCAGACTTCCGGCTCACGACCGGTTTGGGAAGCTTTAAATTTGCCTCTTCAGCTTCTCAATGGCCAGGGCCTCCTGCAGGATCTCACCCCACAAATGGTTTCTGACTCTGACACACAGGGCAATTGACTTAACCAGGAGGCTTAGTCTCCAGGAAGAAATTTTTAAAGCAAGTCTCCCTTTGGTCGAGCTGAACTGATGGCAGCCACAGTGGGAATTGTTTCCTACCAAGCCTCAGCGCAGACAAGGCCTCATTGTCTGCCCTTGACA